CACGGGGAAAAAGGTGAATGTCACAAATTTGATGTTTTGTATTTAGAACAACAATGACGCTCCGTAGTTATACCTAATTGAAAACTTGCCGTGAAGGGAAAAAAAGATGAATGTCACAGTCGTTGTGTGAAAAAAAAAGGTGAACGTCCACTGATAGTGATCGAAACTTGGGTTACCAACCCTACACTTTTAACTGTAGATTTTTAAAAAATCTTCCAATTTTTCAGTTCGGGCCTTCAAAGCTACAGTTTACAAATTACGAAAAATTTTGCACAAGTTTACCGGAAACAGATCGACTATATCTGGCATCACTGGCTTTATTTCTGACCTAGCCTTAACGGCCTTCATACCTACTCCCTGAAAATCTACTTTGAATCAAATTCTGTTTGCAGCGGTTCTGGTTCTAGCTGACCTTAAGTGACATGAAAATAATGAATCTCACATCGTTTTCGAGAAAAAAAAAACAAAAACGTTCTATTGCATGTCACTTGACAAAATTGGTCTATTAACTTTTGCTAAAAAAATCACAAGTGCCTTGGAAAACAGAGAATCATTTCTGCATGGAGGATTGACATTGGCGCGTCAGTTCTTCTAGAGAAGAATTATTCACGCTATTTTCTTTGCAACATTTCTTCAAAAAGTTTTTGTCTCGGTTTTTATGATAGAATATTACACTTTTGAGGAAATGGTAGACATGCGTGTAATGTATTAAAGTCCTTATAGTAACTGTTACGCAGCGAGGCACTTGTATGCAGAAGCGTTTCCCCATCGGCTTGTTCACCCTGTATCTTGAAAACTCTGCAAATCCGGACCTATGATTATAGAAACTTTTTTTATATCTTTAAACAAGGGATCATCCTCTGAAGTATCTCCGTCTATTTTTCGAACACCTTGTATAGAAATCCTACAGGCAAATAACTCCCTTTCTCTAGTTCGTACTTTTATGCAAGCCCTTATAAACATACAATATAAATATATTCCAATTAATGGCAAATCTTCCAAATTCATTCTCTGAAAAATATCGCTTGTATGGAGGTATTTATTTCTTAGTAAAAAACGTAAACAACTTTTTATACAAGAGATACGGTATAAACACGACACAATCGGTGTACGAATCTTGCTTTCTTGTAGTTTTTTTTACATGATAGTGTGCTAGTTATTATATATTTACATTCACTATAGGCGAAGCGAAAAGAAATTCGTGGGTGAAATTTTCCAACTTGATTTTTGAATGAATCATGAGGCTGCCGGGAGGTAACTCGCTGCAAAGTTTAAATAATTACGAACGCCAAAAAATAGTTTTTTCCGTCCCGGAAACTTTGTCTTTAGGCTTTTTGGAACATTGCGAATAAAAAAAGTTTTTTCTCTCTAAAAGTGTCGTTTATAAGTGATAAGCGATTAAATATCTGAAAAATCCAAAACATGTTCTTTCATGTTACTCAAAGTCTCAATTAAACTTCAAACCTTCTCCTACTTGGAGTATTTTCGACTTATTTTGAAGCACTGCTATTTAATTGTTAATAACGCGCATTGGAATACGCATCAGCGCCTCGCGTTATTAACAATTAGGTAATGATACTTTAAGATGTACTAATCCTCAGTCTTTCAGGGCAAGGTGCGAATTTAACTTAGACACTTTGCAACCTCAAAGATGATGATTTTCACCGCATCTTAAAGCATTGAAGATCGAATTTCTTAAGGTTTCTCAGAACTTTAATCACTTCTAACACGTTTAACTTTAAAGAAAAATTGCTTTTGACCACAACACAAGAAGTCAGTCTCCACATTATGAGCTCAAAGCTAACACAAAAGTAGATGAGCATGTATACGTACCTAGTTTGCTTTAAAGACATTCCGTTTCCTTGGAAAAATCGGAAGAAGAGATGATATCCAACGTGAAAATACACCACTCGCCTTTTATGAACAACCACAACACATTTCTCACAAAATCACTCAAACCACCATCGCGACACGGCGTCACTGCGGGGAATCGCCGGCAAAGGCTTCTCTGGACACCACATACCACAATAACGAGTCGGACAGAAGCAGAGCGTTACATAGAGGTCTCGACGCAGCAACCTCCACTCACGCCAACCGACAACTAAAGTGCCCGTTAGTTCGCAGCGTATGGCGTCGGTACGGCTATCGTCGTCCAACTTTGGTGGGGAGGAGGGGGGTGGGGGGTGCGGTCAGAGTTGCCAATCCTACAGTTTTAACTGTAGATTTAGTTTTTCAAAAATCTTCCAAGATTTCAGTTCGGGCCTCCAACTCTACCGTTTTTCGTTTAAGATGCTCGCGCCATCTGTTTTGTTTTCTTGACCGAGTGTTGCTTAAGCAAGGTACCTCCCTATTCAACTTTCAACCACCGGTAAGTTTTGTGCAAAGTCAATGTCTACTTGCTGATCATGCATGCCAAAAGCAAATCGTTTTTGAGCGATTGTGGTTCTGGTTGGCCTTGAGTGAATATTGGAAAATTTGAATGGAAATTCTGTCACTTTTATGTCATTCAAGGCCAATCAAAACCACAATCGTTCAAAAAGAATTTGCTTAAGCAATGCAAAACTGTCACTGTTTGACCTTGGTCCGCAATAGATACTCGTGAAAAATACTGTAAATGGAAGGCTGTAGATTTACAGTTTTTTAAATAATATCCTGCAGTTATCTGAGTTTTTTTCAAGCTCATATACAGATATTTTCTCGGATGGGGTTGGAAACTCTGCTTGTGGGTCACGCGTCGGATTACACTATTTTTTTTCATACTTCAGCTACCACGAAGGCCTAAGGCCTAAACACCCATGAGTTGCCGTGGGGCTATAGGGGGATACATAAAGGGGAAAAGGGGCGACTCCACACGGATTCTAGCGAGGGAACACGTGTGCATGCACACATTCTGGAAATCACTTTAACACTAAACTTCCCTATTCAATATTGACATGTTCCTAAAGGGATTAAACAATCTCTTCTCAATACGAAACGAGCCGAAGGATAATTATCTGAGTAGCGTTACCGAACTTACCTGTTGAAAGAATACAAACGTGACTACTTTTTATACAGATTTCATATTCAGATTATACTGTGTTTTCTCATTTCACGCACAGATATCTGTAGGTCAACAGCGGTGACGACATCTACTGGAATCCAGTTTAACCACACTTCCCTATTCAAGATTATCTGGGAGACAAGGAGTTATGATCTGGAAATGTTTTGTGACAACAGAAATGATAGCCCTATATTCGTGTGTACGTTTTGGATACCTATAGTCCTTTCACTGAAACAAAGCAGTTACGTCACATTTGGTAAATCCGGTAAATCTGAATGTCATCCTTAATGCATGTGTGACATTTTCGCAAAGTTAGTCAGGTATAATAATTACATCAACAGCTGTTGTCTATTTGCGGTTTTGCCTCAATATTTGCATTGTTATTATGTAAAAAGTGTTTTCAAGACTGAGGTGTCCTTTTAAGCATCGATGGTAAGGCATAGAAGTCATAAGGTAGATTTTGTAAAACGTCCTAGGATCTATCAGTTTTAATTAATACGGCAACCATGTCCGTTACTGTCATTATTTGACGTTGTGATGTAACGCTAATAGCACTGGACCGGATGCGGTGTTCTCAAACGGACCAATGATGCAATGTTGCAGAATTTGTGGCTATCCTGACTTATCATTTCGACCGAAAATGGAGCGCTGTTAGGACCGATCGGGAATCGATCCTAAACATATTCGACATAATTCACAATTCAAAAATGTGTAAGCTCAGAATCAAACCATTATTTGGGCGTAAAGCATAAAGTAACGCATATTTTTAATATGCATCTTAATTCAAAGAACTGGTGTAAGAAATTGGCAATGCGGCACATTGCACCACCCTCTGCGTCACCGTTCATAGCAAGTGAGCTTTGCTATCCAGCCGGGTTCTTCCTCTTTCTAACATATGTGCCTTACACACTTCTCGCGCATCACTCTCGTAAACTTTGAACACCCACCCCTTAGCCAAATTTGATGCTTACCGTATATTTCTTCGAACTGTGTGGACAGAAATTTGTCTGCTTTTCGAAAGATAGCGGGTAATTTAACTTCTTCTGCGATCTTGATACTAATTTTTAGAAGCATGAAAACACTCCAATCATAGGAGCTAGAATTCGCTATCAGGATAACAGAAAATCGAGGAGGTATTGTATTTGCAGATTGCTTCTGATACAAAATCGGCGGGAAATTTAAATTCCTCTATTAAAAACCTCTCGCTTCTGCGATCCTGGCTTTCAGAAACGCAAGGTCGTTCATCGACCATCAGACAGATACTCTTGGCTGAAATTCTCCAATTATAGGAACTGAGATTCGATGTCAGGATAACAGAAATGAGGCTTAGCTCTGGAGTTTGCTCCTACTGTAAAATTGATGAGAATTTTAAATTTTACTCGCAATCCTGAATCATTTGCGTTCTTTGGTTGTCTCTGAGGTGTCATTCTTTTGTAGTGAAGCAGTCGCGAAGTCAGAAGCCTAAGTACCGATGTATCAGAACTGCTACATAAAGGTTAAGAGATGTTTGATCCGATTTTACTTCCCACGCCTACTGGCGAGGAAGTATTGTAATCGCAAAAATTTCAAAAATAAGATTATGTTATTTGGATTGTATATTACCTGAACATCATGAAAAACCGTAACTCATTTCCGTCGATCTATCTGTCTGCTAATCCTTAGTTGTCTACAACCTGGATGACATTTTCCCACAAGGTTACTACTATGCCAATGGCATTACGAACTGATGTCAGCGTTGCGTGGGAAGTAGAGTTAAATTACTTGACGCCATTTTTTCAACTGCTAAGGTCAGTAGTACTGGTAAAAAGATCCGTTAGCCACGTCCTCCACACTTAGCAGCAAAATATCTGTTGTACCGGCCAATTCTTGCTTAGGGATTTGAAAATGCTAAGCGCTTTGAAAAACGGTAACACCAATCCATATGAGAGGAATTAGGGAAAAATCGTAAAAGAAAAGCAGCTTGAAATTTGATATTTTATTTATAAGAATCACTGGTTTATAAATATAGTATTCAAAAGAACCCTGACCATACATTCAACAAAATTTCAACATTGTTTATCCATCAGGTTACATACAACATCTAACACAATATGGAGAAATGTATCAAAGTAACTCATCAGAGCAATATTGAAGTGAAATGTGATTTAGATGTGTTTAAAAAGGTATATAATTTAAAATTAAAGTTATTTGTACAACTGCAACCATTTAGTCAAGCACATTATAATGGAATGCACATTAATATCGAACAGCAATAAATACTTTCATATTCATTACAAATCTTTTAAAATCTCGAAGTGCAAATCTTCATGACATCCATACATCATACAATATCGTATCTGTTTGACGTTAACTAGCAAACTTACAAGGGCCCTAGAAATTAAATTTATCTAGCCAAACCAGTAGGCAGCAAAAAAATCAAAGTGTGTATTCTCTTATGGTATTCTATATGAGTTCACTGACAAACTTCCTGTGCAAATTTTAATACAATGCGAGTAATTTGCTCGACATTTATTTTTCTGTTGGTATGTATAATCTGATGGGATTTTTAATTGTGCAGTTCAAGAAATCCGATGGTCAACCATACGAAAAACAATAGAAATCTTGTCAAAAACAAACAATTTTCAAATGTTGCAATTATACTTTGATAGATCTACACCTACTTTTTCTTTTTCTTCTTTTCAACTGGTGTACCGCCACCTCCGGGCGCTCCGCTGGACCCATCGTGTTTCCTTTTCTGTGACTGTTTTGTGGAAGTGGGCTGAGCTGAGCTTCCAGTCGAGCCTTTGGGCGCCTTCTTTTTCTTCTCGCTGCGCTCACGTTCCTCTAACTCGGCGTTCTCGCGCTCGATCAGAGTGATGAGCGTGTTACAACGACGTTGTAGTTCCATCGCTGTCCGCGATTTCAAGAACCTGGAGAAGCCACTCACTCTTAGATTTTGCACTCATGTGAGGAATATCCCAAGATTTAGAAAGTTAATAGGGTAGCGGAAACATCGACGTGACAGGGAAATTGAAATGCTTATCACTGTCATGGACGAATAATTTTGTGGGGGCGGTGAAAAAGGCAAAAGTAAAATAAACTAATGATTTCAAAGTATCCTTCTAAGATTTTTTTTTAAACTTGGGCTGGGTTAAGAGTGAATATTAGTATCGATATAAAACATTATTTTCAATATCTGCGGACTTATGATTACAGATACAGATTTATGAAAACAGTATTGAATTTTAATTGTATCAAAAGTCATTTAAAAGCAATTAAATTTCTTACTATACAGGGAAAACCAAATTGATGCCCTTTCAAAATTTAATGACAATCGAACCACTTCGCTCGGAGTTATCGCGCTCAAAGTAACACTATATTTTTAGCATCGATCGAAAAATGAGCAAAGAGTCAATATCAAGTTCTGTGTTAAACTTGGTAAAACATTTCCGAAACGCATCAGATGTTGATGTAAGTGTATGGTGATGATTGTTTATCTCGTAGCCGGGTTCACGAGTGGTTTACACGGTTCAAAGAGTCGCTGGAAGACGACGAACATTTTGGCCAGCCAAAATTTGTGATTACGCCAGAAACCGAAAAGTGCGTGAATGTATCAAAAATGATCCAAAATCTTCAATGAGATACATAGAAATGGAATTAAATATCTCTAAAGATTCAATCCATCGCATTTTGACGAAGAATTTGGGCATGAGAACGTTGTGTTCACGGTTTGTCCGCAAAGTTCACGGATGACTGGTGTCGAAACGTGGTGTTTTCAATACGATCCCGAAACCAAGCGTCAAAGTGCCGAATGGAAGCATCCAAGCGAGCCAAATGCAAAAAAAGCTGTTTGGAAAAGTCCAAAGTGAAGTCAATGTTGATTTATTTCTACGTTTCGAAGGGAATTATTCATAAAGAATTCGATCCACCGGACCAAACGGTTAATGCTGTGTTTCATGTTGGTGTTATGAGGCGTTTGCTGTCGCAAGGAAGCTGGGGCTTGTTGTATGATAATGCACCATCTGATCGATCGACGCTTGTGTCCGATTTTTTGACAAAAAAGGACATTTTAACCAAAAACCACTCCCCATATTCTCCTGATATGGCACCATGTGACTATTTTCTGTTTGGTAAACTGCATTTGGCCATGAAGGGTCAGCGGTATGCCGACGTAGAGGCCAAAAGGCGTCGACGGTCATTTTGAAGGACATCCTAAAATCATCATTCGAAAATCTTTTGGTCCGTGCAAATAGCTGTATTAAATCTGACGGGGACTATTTTGAATAAAATTCGATTTTCTGAAACAAAAGTTTTTATTCACTTTTTCTTTGTCCTATTTACTTTGAGACAGACCTTGTAATGCATCATAATGTGTCCATGGTTAACTCAAATCAACCAATAAAATTCCTGTATATGCTTTGATGAATATATTAGAATATAAACCTACCAGTCAAATCTAAACTGTGGTGATGCCCTGACAGCAGCTCTGAGCTCTTCATATACATTCTCTCTGTCGAAGCCGAGTTTGTGCAACATGCACACCAAAAACCTATCTTCTTCTTCCATATAATTCTTGCCTTTATTTGTGCCGTAGGAGATTCTCAATTGATGGAAGGGCGCACGATAGCGGGCCATTTTCGCGTCTAAAGCCCGTTTTATACTGGCTCGACGCTGAATCTTCGCTTCTCCTCGCTCTATCTGTGCCATTATCCTTATGAAAAAAACAAATAATAGTTAATGAAAACCACAAGAGATTTAATCAGTTTTCAGTGCTCTTAAAGGTTTTGAAACTGAATACAGATAATAAAATGGTAATTGATGATAGTAGCTTTCTGATATGACGCTCTAAATTATTCTGGAGTCACGCATTTATCGCACGAAATGTCAGAAAATCGCCCTTTCAAACCAATTCCTTACCTGTCAATATCCTGTAGCTCGTGACAGCGTTCCCAAAACACAGCCGAATACTCCATGACTTCTTCTGGTGTTTTTCCCTCCACTTCCTTAGCGATGTTTTCGATGTCATCCCTGCCGTATTTTTCGTTGGCTTTGATGAACTGATTGAAATCTCTTTTACTCCAATTCGTGAAACCTTGCGTAAGCAGATTTTCTTTTTCCTGTTGCTCTTCTTCCGTTAGAGGTTCTGATTCGTCAATTTTGCGTTGTTCTTCTTTTTGCTGTTTCGACGCTTCTGGTCCCAGTTCTAGGTTCTTAGGAACTTTGTAGCCCAGAGATTTTCTAGATTAAAGATAAGAATGAATGCTTTATGTATAGTTGTGGAAATCGTTTTTTCAAAGGTTAAACTGAAATAAATTTTACTACAATATTTAAACAGATTCTCACATATATTTGTGACTGTGTTCATTTCGCGCTGTTGCCGATAGTGAATATTGATTTATTCAATTCTTAATAGAGTCATTCTGATTGTACGCCGAATTGTTCGCAATTACCTCAAGCAAAACAACATACAGGGTTTGTCCGGAAAGTAATAGGACTCATTTTCTTCCACCATGACTGTACTTCGGAGCGTGCGCGCACCAACTGGATTCGGTAGAGGGCGTTCCTAGCTAACGAATGACCGGCTGGTCAATTGTCTCCCAGCACTTGGAGAGTCAGGACAGGCATTTTCGCGCGTCGTGTTACTGTGAGTGGTGCAGCGTTCGTTAGAGCAGAGGTACGCGATTAAATTCTGTGTGAAACTCGGTAAATCTGCGACAGAGACGTTTGATATGATCAAGCAGGCTTACCCAGGTGTTGCTTTAGCAAGAAGTGGTGTGTTTCGGTGGCACCAGGCCTTTTTGGAGGGCCGGGAAGAGGTCGCTGATGCAGCCCGTGCTGGAAGACCTTCGACTTCGACAAACACCGATAATGTGACTCGTGTGCGCAAAGTTTTGAATTCAGACCGTCGACTAAGTATTCGTTTAATTCCCCAGATGTTAAATTTACCAAAACGCCCCGGCTCACACCGCCTTTCTTGTGAACAGCTACCTGACCAAGGTCGGCATCCCAATGCTTCCGCAGCCGCCCTACAGCCCAGATGTGCCCCCCCCAGACTTTTTTTTGTTTCCTCGCCTGAAAAGGCCGATGAAAAGCAAGCATTTTGAGACGACAGAGGGGATTCAAGCAGCATACACCGCGGCTCTCCAGGCTATTCCGGAGAATGCCTTCCGTGACGCCTTCAGTGCTTGGAAATCGCGCTGGCACAGCTGCATCGACGCAGAAGTTTTTTTGTAACGATTGGCCCAATAAAGTTTTTTAAATCGACTCAGTCCTATTACTTTCCGGGCAACGCCTGTACACAAAAGCGTAGCTGTCGCTATCAGATGCGAAGTAGTATGAGGTGCTCTGTGACTAAATGAGTAGCACTACTATGGTCTTGACAGTGACTGTTACACCCAGAAAAAATAATTTCAACTTGTTTTTTTTTTGGCAACATAATAACTATATTTAAAGCATGCTGTGGCAACAATGTCAACGTTTTATCTTTGTTTTTGTTTACCTTTTAAAATGTTATCTCTTAGTTTTTGTGAAGAAAGCAGTTTCTGAGAGTAGTACAGATATTTTTTAGTTATTGCCCTTTCATTTATTAGTGTTAAGCATTCTGTGTGTAACACTTCTAATATCAGAGTATATACATATATATATATATATATATATATATATATATACAGGGTGTCCGCAAAGTTGGGGTTTTCCTTTTGAGAAACAACTACCCTTGAAATAACAAAGGTAATGTGTAGCGAAACGAGGGCGACCAAGTAAAAAAAAATAAAGGAAAAAGTACTCACTCTCCAGATGACGAGAAGGGCTAAGTACGCCTCTGCCTGAAATCATACCGCTCCAACAGAAAATGAAATCAGCTGATGCGCTACCGAGCAGACGCAGGTAAACAAGGAAGGCAAAATGTTGCGTAAAAAGTCTAGGTATTGCATCCCGTCCAATCGATTTGGGAGAATAAATGGTCCAATGAGCATACCGTTCACCATGCCACCCCAAACATTCACCGAAAATGTTTGTTGAAAATGTGCCCGACGGACGGCGTGCGGATTTTCTACTGACCAAACATGAGTGTTGCGAAAGTTATTCACCCCATTACGCGTGAACGTAGATTCGTCTGTCACCAATATGCACTTCAAAAAGTCCGGATTATTGTCATGTTGATGCAACAACCACTCACAAAACCGCACTCTTGCTGGAAAATCGTCAGGTTGAAGGGCTTGTACACGCAGCGTTTGCCACACTTTAGTTTTTGATACTTCTCTAGCCACGTCACTAGTGCTTGTTGTTTTTTGAAACGCAATCGTTTATACGAGTTCGTTTACCTCTACACTCGTGACCGTAACCGTCGGTTGAAGGTTGCATACTGACCTGACACACTGACCCCGACCCAGTTCTGTCGTCGGGTTGAGCTAGTGTCCTAGTACCACTTGGGGATGTCGCGGCTACAGGACGGTATTCAGATATTTTTGATGTTGCAGAGCCCTTTATCTCGGTTCCCTTAAGACATTGGTGTATATGGTACTAAGAAAAATTGCTTATGCTTTCAAGATCTACACGTCGTGTAAAGGAAAACCCCAACTTTGCGGACACCCTATATATCATGGCCAAGGGGTATGAACTATGTCAAACACCACATAAAGTGAATATATTAAATGCAGAAAATAAACATAAGGCTATTTGAGCATACAAGGTCTTACCTGTAAAAGTATATCTCCTGATCAAGCAGCTCAAACAGCCTCGGTGGAAAGAACTGGAAGTCTTGCACGATCGGCTGTTTAGGGGGTCTAGGCGCCTTAGGGGCCTTGGGCTCGGACACCCTGAGGGCCTCCCTGAAATACGCATCCACAGCATAATTGGCCTTTCGCTCTCTCTTTGGCGGTTCGATCCAGGCGCTGATCCCTGTGTTCTTGTGCTTCTCACGGTAATCCTCGCCTTCGAACTTGTACACAGACTCTGTGGGAGTTTCGACGGTGAAGTTGCGCAGAGAAGATTCGCCCAGTTTTTCCATTTTCTGAGCTAGCTCCAACGTCTACGGAAAAAAACGCGTATCTTTGATCTGATAATAATGATTAGAATAATAGGATAATCAGTCTGTAGTGATAAATGCTAGGATATTATTTAGGCGCTGTTGAACCATTTTCAGTTTGGCCTGATTTCTTGAATTTTTCTAAAAATATTTCTCAAATAACATCACTGCAATAGATTTGAATTTTGTATGCACGTTAGGTGGACATATGTCTATATATTCTTCCATTTCCATTTTTTCTAATAACACCTTTTGATAACATCCAATTTGGAAACGAATGTGGTAGAATATGTATGAAAGTCCGAAAAAAGTAAAAAATAAGTCCAAGAAGGGAATATTCTTGCAGAGACTAGAAGCAATAGTGGATTTATTCTAGTATATGATAGTGCACATTATCACCACAAAGAGCTGTCCAACATGGTCAAGACATAATATACGAGCTCAAATAAGCTAGTGTAAGCAACTAACCTTTGCTTCTCCCTTCTGCAAAATAGTATCAATATCCTCGTCGGTGATTTCTGAATCCTTGGATGCGAACACGTGATTAGCACCATGCCTGATCATGTTCAACATTTCGTCCTTGTTCAACGACTGACTTTTAGAATCGGCCAAACGTCCTTGTTGGATAACCAACTTGTCCAATCTCAACTTGACTTCAGCTCGTTCGACGATTTTCTCTTCCACTGTGTTCTCGGTTATGAACCGGAAGACTCGTACTTGTTTCTTCTGACCGATACGATGAGCTCTGTCCATAGCTATCAATTAAAAATGTAAATCAGATTATCCAGTTTCCATTTTGTTTTTGATGGTCTCAGATCTACCAAAAAACTTTAAAAACGCAAATTCAGCTAATTTCGTAAACGCGTCACAATAGAGCAAAAAAGTAATTTACGTGTATAACACAATAACTTATCAACATTTCATTTATTGCTCATAATTACTAATTTCTTGTTCGGCAGAAGATAAGCAGATGCTCCAACTATCAATTGACTAAGCATATGAGAATATTATTGAATTGAGTACGCGCCAATCGAGGTCATGAGACAAAATTGAACTTTTCAAGAGTGCAGGAAATTAATCATATAGGGTGGCCAGTATATAACCGACTTTTTTAAAGCACATGTGTCCAATTCATCATGGAGCGCTACAGGATCCCACAACGCGTCCGTATTGTTAAAACGTTCTACTTAAACAATGAGTCGATTGTTGTTAGTTAAATTTTACAGTTTTACACAAGCAATGGCCTTTAACGGAATATGTTACTCCTAGGTTCAGATCAAGGACTGCAATCAAAGCAAAAAACTCTCGATTATTACACACTATGACCAGGATTTTTCACCGTTTTTAAATATAATGCTGTACCTTGAAGATCCATTTGAGGATTCCAGTCAGAATCGTAGATGACAACCACATCAGCTGTGGCCAAATTGATACCAAGACCTCCAGCTCTTGTTGACAACATGAAGATGAACTTACTGCTACCTTCTTCGTTGTACTCATTTATCTGTCTTTGTCTGTCTTCATGAGGAGTTTGCCCGTCCAAACGACAATACTACCAAAATAAAAAAAAAATCAATGGTGAAGGCATCTCGTCAATCATACCAAAGAGGCATTTGGCAACGTGTAACCAGGACTACTCAACAATTGAACTATTCATCATACTTCGTCAATCAAAACAGAAAAAAGGAGATATTGTAAATAAAGCTCTGCTAGCTCTTGAATCACATTGATGAAACTAAAGCAAATCTATGTTACATCTGAAATTTATCCTGTGGTTTTCATGTTGATAATCCCCCATGTTTGTCTGGCCAGTGAAGCCACATATACAGGGTGTCCGCAAAGTTGGGGTTTTCCTTTACACGACGTGTAGATCTTGAAAACATAAGCAATTTTTCTTAGTACCATATACACCAATGTCTTAAGGGAACCGAGATAAAGGGTTCTGCAACATCAAAAATATCTGAATACCGTCCTGTAGCCGCGACATCCCCGAGTAGTACTAGGACACCAGCTCAACCCGACGACAGAACTGGGTCGGGGGTCGGGGTCAGTGTGTCAGGTCAGTATGCAACCTTCAACCGACGGTTACGGTCACGCGTGTAGAGGTAAACGAACCGGTATAATCGATTGCGTTTCAAAAAACAACACGCACTAGAGACGTGGCTAGAGAAGTGCAAGTATCAAAAACTAAAGTGTGGCTAACGCTGCGTGAAGAGGGGCTGTATCCGTTTCACGTCCAACGTGTACAAGCCCTTCAACCTGACGATTTTCCAGCAAGAGTGCGGTTTTGTGAGTGGTTGTTGCATCAACATGACAATAATCCGGACTTTTTGAAGTGCATATTGGTGACAGACGAATCAACGTTCACGCGTAATGGGGTGAATAACTTTCGCAAGACTCATGTTTGGTCAGTAGAAAATCGGCATGCTGTCCGTCGGACACATTTTCAACAAACATTTTCGGTGAATGTTTGGGCTGGCATGGTGAAAGGTATGCTCATTGGACCATTTATTCTCCCAAATCGATTGGACGGCATGCAATACCTAGACTTTTTACGCAACATTTTGCCTTCCTTGTTAGAAGATGTGCCATTAAGTGTAAGACAATCAATGTGGTTTCTGCACGATGGTCATATTTGTTATCTCTGTTCGTGGTCCACTGGTCTGCACCACCGTCGGCGTCTGCTCGGTAGCGCATCAGCTGATTTCATTTTCTGTTGGAGCGGTATGATTTCGGGCAGAGACGTACTTAGCCCTTCTCGTCATCTGGAGAGTGAGTACTTTTTTCTTTATTTTTTTTACTTGGTCGCCCTCGTTTCATTACACATTTGTTATTTCAAGGGTAGTTGTTTCTGAAAAGGGAAACCCCAACTTTGCGGACACCCTGTATATTTGACATTCATCCTTTATGTAGAAAGACAAACATGGGGGATTAGAGCAAATCAATCAATCTAGCGTCCACGAAAAAACCAACGCATGTTCCTGATCACCTGTTGAGTAGTGTTTATTCATAAATTGATTGAAAATATTTTAATCATCTTACTGGCCAAAATTAAACGTATTTCATACCAACATTTGAAAGCACCAGCCTTTACAGTCCCAAATTATTGAATGGGACTGTAACAACACATAAAGATCGATATCCATGGTTTTGAATGCTGACAAGACCACAGATCTTTCAAAATGTGTATGACATTTGAAAATATGGGTAATTTTAAAATTATTCTGTAAACCCGTGAATATAATTCATTCAATAACTTCAAAAATCACATACATGATACTGCTTCCAATGACAATAATCCTCGAGAATATCCAACATCCTGGTCATCTGCGAAAATATCAACACCCTGGAGCCCTGTTCTTGCAACTTGGGCAGTAACTTGTCAAGCAACACCATTTTGCCACAGTTGTATACTAAGTGCTGATCCGTTGTATAAGGTGGTCCAGGTTCAGCACCATCAAACAGATATGGGTGATTTGTGCATTTTCTCAACTGCATCAGGATGTTTTGCAGCCGCATCTTCTCTACTTTACCAGCGCCGTTCACTACGTCAATGTCCTTCATAAGAACTTTTGTGTACCATTCACGTTGCATTTTGCTCAAACCAACATATACCTATAAACATGCAGTCATCTTACCTCATAAACTAAACAAAAATGGAAAGTTTCATAAATACATAATGTGAACTAATAATAGCACATCAATTAGAGGATGTTTTAGGCTAAATTACCCGGAAGATTGGAAACTTACTTTGACTTCTTTTTTTGGCTTCAACTTCTTCTCCACCTCAGACTTCAACCTTCTGAGCAAGAAAGGTTTTAGCACTGCATGCAATCTCTCAATGAGTTCATTGTCACCCAAACACTGATTTGTGTTGAACCAAGCATCAAAATCGTCTGAAGAGTTGAATACATCTGGCAGTAAGAAATTTAGTAGAGCCCACAATTCGTGCAGGTTATTTTGAAGTGGTGTACCAGTCAATAGCAGTCTTGAAAAAAAAATAAGGAAATCAATACATGTTGATATAGGGAAAGCTGGTTTCACAGAAAATTGAAGCAAACAATTTTGATAATCAAAAATAAATTACACCATGTAAAAAAACTGATTTGTTAAAAATGATACAATGTTTTGCTGAAGTTGGATAGTAAAAACCCTAATCAATGGAGCAATGAGTTTTCAGCAGATGGAAAATGATTCACAAGACAGACCTGTTGGTAGTTTTGAATTCTCTGAGAATTTCAGATAGCTTGGATTTTTCATTTTTGATCCTGTGAGCCTCATCAATCACCATGTAACGCCAGTTGAATTTCTTAAAGACAGATTTTTCTTTGATGCACATTTCATATGATGTGACACATACATCCCATTCACCTGGCATCATCACATCTCTAATGAATGCACTCTAGAAAATAATAAAAAAACATATTTTACATTTAATTTCCTTGAGCAACATACAGAGTGACCCAAAAAGAACAGTGTCAATGATAAATTGAAAAGTTGGGTGGAAATACAACAATTTTCAAGTAATCAATTGCTGCAATTTTTCATGGGATGCACTCTACACGGCAAAAGTTCAGGAAAAAAAATCATTCTTGCAGAATTTATGGTATATCAGTATTTTGCCTCCTAAATTATATTCTAAGTGTTCTTACATTTTCCTATGAACAAAAAGTGGCAACACAGTTTAAGCATAAAATTTCAGGGAATAGCACTGACATAATTTGTTCTACGATGACAATAATAAGTTTTTCACACAATGCCATTAAAATTAATGAATAGAACTGAAATTCTATTGTCTGATTCCTTTGGAAAGAGGTACCGAGGATTTAGATGGGTTCACTTTTAATGTAAAAACATCAAATACATTTTTTTGATTTCCTTCAGTTCTCTTAACTTTAAGTAGTTCAAAAATCAGACTAACAAGATGTCCTTAAACTCTTTATATCAGTCACAGAGGTTCAGGTTTCTGCCTAGGTAGCTGTATCAGTGTACATGCAAATGGATGTACACAATCTATTTCAATTGTTAAAAATGCAATATTGTCCCCATTAAGTGTTGTCTGACAGCTGTCATGCTTATCCAAGGTCTTGTGAAACATCTCAAGTTTATTTGTTAGATATTCAACAAACATCTATTAATTGTAATTAATAACATATGAAGAGAAACAAACATAAATTAGAGAGCTTACCCTAGCTTCCTGGTCACCAATCAAACAAACAGCTCTCAGAGATGGACACCATTTCTTAAACTCATTCATCCAGTTGCTCAGGGTTGATTTGGGGACAATGACAATGTGTGGCCCTGGTGTTGACTTATAGTGTTTCATAAATCCCAAGAGAGATATAGTCTGCAGGGTCTTGCCAAGACCCATTTCATCAGCCAGAATACCTATTTGCAAATGAAAACTCAGTGATTTCATGCAAAAATCAATTCTTCTCATATTATCAGACACATAAAGAAACTAAAATATTGAGAGTTTTTTTTCTAATAGTGAAACCAATTAAATGAAGAATCATGAATTTAGCTATGAACTATCAATAAAGTAAGCTAAGCTAGACAGTAATAAAGAAGTCTTTTAATACCATTGATGCCATTTTCATATAGTGAGATCATCCAGTTAAGACCACGAATTTGGTAATCTCTCATCTCTCCATTTTTTATATAAAAGGGAGATGCTTCAAATCTAACAGTTGGTTTAGATTTCGTATTAGTTTCAGCCAACAGCTCCTCATCTTCTTCTTGTTCAGTTTTGCGGTGACGATGGCTACAAAAATTATACACATAAAAATTGTGTATTTCTAGAATCCATACATCCTTCGGAGTTGTAAGCTCATGAATAAAATGAGGCAAAAGCAATATAGGTGAAGAGAGGATGGTTAATATCAATACTGTATAAGTTGCCTATTAGTTAAGTTCCTCAAACAAGTAGTAGTAAGTGTGATATCTGAAACTTCTTACATTTTTCATGCTCATAATCCTCCATATATGTGGTTTGGGCAGACTAACATGGGGGATTAAGTTAGTAATAATTTTCACTTTTTCACACTTGACAATGATTATCTGAGTTGAGTGTCTGGTCCAATCAAAGGACTTCATCTAGATAAATATCCCTCTAAGAGGCCAGAGTATGATTGTATGATTTTTGTGCTTTTTCAATGGTTATTTTACACAAAGGCATAGGGACTATACAAAATCTTTGCTAATAGGTCTAACCACTAGCTAACAAATACTCTCACTAATAAAAATAATCTATTTTTCAACAAAGATCAATAATGTACTTACTCAGTGAGATCTTCTTTTTTCTCTTTTCTTGGTCTGCCACTTTTTGGTTTAGCAGCCTGTTTAGCTTGATTCATAAAGTGAGAGAAGATTTCTGTTTGTTTGAGCAGGAAATCAAATCTCTTAGATCTGTCAGAGGCAAGCTTAGTATCAAAGTCCTCTCCTTTTGATGTGGCATCCGAGGATGATTCATTTTGACCCAACTCCTGCAACAGAAATGAAAATATTGCAAATGAATGATGATCTTGATAACAGAAGTGTGGCTATACAGGGGGTGTCCTAAAAGATGGTACTTTCCTTTTTAGAGTCGTCTATGTTTGCAATACCAAAGCTATTTTGCAGCAAAACAACACCAAAAACATAAAAAATAAATTGAAGACAAAAATACTCACTATTAACTTGGTACAGAATTTCAAGTACTGCCCTATCAGATGTTTTGTTGTGTACAATACTTGAAGTGAATTCAAAAACACAAGTTTGTTTACCTAAATTTGCAACATTTAGGGCTCTGTCGGAAAGAGACATCAAGGACAATAGCTACATTCTGAGTACACTTGCAAAGTATCAATAGAATCTTGAAGATGCTGATATCAAATCGATAACTACAATATTGCTATATGAATCTGACAATTCTGGATTTTCAAATGCAGTTTGTTTATAAACTTGGTTAAGCTAGACATCATATGCTGCCTGGTTTGGATGTTGACTCACATAGACTTAGTACATTATATATTTTTACGTAGGTAAGGGTGGCAGGGCCATACTGGTTGATTTATCGCTTTTCAGAACCTAGTATCTCAGTATCTTAAAAACGTAAAGTTTAGTTTGAAAGCACCATAGTGTGAAAGATTGTTTGAATAAGGAGGTATCTGAAAAAAATGCATAAATGGTATAAAAATATGCTCACCGAATTTTCACCAATTTCAGTCGCATCTGCACTGGTTTCAGTTGTATCTTCTAATTTAGACATTTTAGCAACGAAATACCTACAATGGTTTGCTATCACACAAATATCATGCCACCTCCGTTATAACATTACTCGCACTTCTCCACTAACACAAGTAAAACTTGAGTCTGGAAAAAGTTGTGACTGCACAGTTGTAACTTATGTTATCAAAATTAAACTATTTCGCTTTGTTCGCGTTTTGGAAATAGAAAAATTCTGAAAAACAAACGCGCTAAAACCGCTAAAGCTATCCAAGAGGCAGAAAACACAAAATTAAATAAACGCCAAACTACTTGACATTTCTGACAGGTGTCAACGAGGACTGCCCCCAATGAATTGTAAATATATTGATCATGTGATCAATATTTTCTGATTTTATTGGACCTTTGCTGCCTCCACAACACAGAACAGGAAGGATGTCAGAAGGCAAATTCATGCCTTTATAAATGTAATATATGTGTAGTACAGATAGACCGTAATTGAAGCTGAGATCAACCAATAAGCAGTCATCTGCTACGACCAACAGCGAATCAACGGAAGACGTTAGGACCTATCGCTTTGTGCATGGAGCAAAATGTGTTGATTCTTACTTTGAACTTCTGTTCTTCTGATTCGTATCCATCTGTGGAACGAAATGAGACGTTTTGTATTTCTGACACATGACCTGTGACCCCGAAACTTGCAAGGCAAATGACGTTTGTTGTGGATGGTGGAGATTGTGGAATTTTGCTTTTGCTGTTACAGAAAATTGGTAGTTTCCACATACGCATACATTTAAATGGCCTTTTTTTAAAGTTGAAGAAATAACGGAGAACTAATTATTACCCAGACATAGGTGGCCCCTTTAAAGACAACAGCTCGTCAGGTAAGAATCATTTATTTTCATTTTGCTTGACATATTCGGAATTACTGGGTTAGTGAATACCATAAATAGGATTACAAAGTTTATTTGATGAAGCTTATAATCCACTTAGTACGATATACCAATAATTTGTTAGCAAGAGTAATTTTAATACTCTACTTTCTCATATTAACCTAATTTGTTTTTTTCCTTCACCACATAATCTTATCAGGAATTTTTGTTGGTATCAGGTATTCCATCGTTTTATTATCTACGAAGGTGAATTTACTGTTTTCAGTTATGTAATATGATGCACTAATAAGTATGAATACTGTCATCACGTTACATGAAATAATCATACAAAGGGCTTTGAATGACACCTGTTAAAGATGTGTTTCTACTGTAATTCTCACAAATAGCTTATTGATTTCAGCCTATTGTATTTAACCATGTCCCATCACAGTGATGACAATATGCTTATCGCAACCAGTGATTCCTTTTGGGAGCCGGGGAACTATAAAAAGACCACAAAGCGCATTGAGGATGGATATAAACTATGCCAGGAACTAACAGCACTGATCAATGAAAGAGCAGAAATAGAAAAGAATTACGCAAAGTCATTGAAATCCTGGTCAAAAAAATGGAATGATGCTATAGAAAAGGGGCCGGAATATGGAACTACAGAAGCAGCTTGGAAAGGTGTTTTAGTTGAGGCTGATAGGCGATGTGACTTGCATTCCAAAATTAGGGACAATCTGGTGAATGATGTTTTGAATAAGATTAAGCAATGGCAGAAAGATACTTATCACAGGGTAAGTGATTTCACATTTTATGTTCAATTTTGCCCCTGCTAGGGGGCACTAGTGTGGTTGGAGGTCAAATTACCAAAAGTAGATGAGCAAATACAGATTTGACACAATACTTCATTTTTGGTGTCTATTGTTGACTGCCAACTAACATCATCTACCCTTAGCTTTTTGATTACCCCCCATTGTAATAACTTACTGCCTTTATATAAAAATATGTAGGTTTCCTTTAAATATTGATAGAATTCTTTCTTTAATAAGATATTTAAAACAGCTGCTAAATTGGTAGGAAATGTAAGACATGCTACTATTATGCAATTTTATAATATTTTGAAGGTTGACCATATTTTATTGTTGACTTTTGAGTATTTTTGTATGGATCTGATAAAGTGTCAGCTATGGTATACATTACCATGAGTATCTTCTGTAGTACTGATATTTTTTTAGCTTATTGCTACAACTTATTGATACTTATACTGGATTTTTTCGCATTTTTAGATGATATCACCAACCAATAAAGGGATATGTGATTCAGTGCAGTCATATATATGTTCATTCCTTCAAAATGCTATGTTAATATTATTGAATATCTATTTATAAACCTTCAGTACTCAATCAGCAATCTTATAATATCTCATTACATCTTTGAACAAATCAATATTTCATAATAATTTTAACTATAGCTGTGCATTTTAATGATTTAATATATATCCTCTGTCAGTAAGAGGTATTCTTTTGATAATGACTGTTTATTTTGAAACCACCAAACTTATCTGCCATATCAGTACAGCCTGAATAAAAATACCATTATTTTACAATTTTTATTCACAAAGTTTGGTAAATAACACAAGTAAGTGATACGAGACATCTTTTATTCAGCATTGAAGAAGTTTACTGTGTTATTTTGCATTAACATTAAAGGAAATCACTTCATCTGCATTGTTTAAATATTATGTTGCATTTGTATGCATTGTAGAAATGTTACAGCATTTGATTATTTCTCTGACTGGAATAGCAAGTAACATTACATAAAGTTTTAGCACCTTTCAAATGTTTCTTTTAGTAGATGACCATATAATTCTTTAATGATATGAAATTGTCAGCCACAAGATATATAAATCAGAGGAATGCTGTGATGTGCAAAACAAATATGAAAATCAAGAGTGTTAATTGTTTGACTTTGTATTTGGATGTATTTAACAATTAGGCATGGTCACTGTTTTGTTGATGCTTTCAGATTTGTCTTTGGATATTTCTCCTTCCCCCACCAACAGCATTTAAAAATATTCAAAACATTTTTAGATACTTAATTCTAGGATTTAATAATTCCCAAATCTTAGTCTTGTGCTTGGATCTGCCACATTTCTCATTTGCTTTTTGCTGCTTTCATTTAGAGGATCATTGTTAACTGTGCTAAACAAATCTCTTAAATCCTATATGCTCCTTCAAATCCCATTTTTTAAAATTCAAAGAAATTCACAATTTGAAGATACAGGGTGCTCAAAAAATAGACCGAGATATTTTAGGGTGTGATTCCTTGTTAAAAAATGTGAAAAAAGTTTCTATAAACATGCAGGGTTTTCAAGATACGGGGTGATGATTTAAAAAAAAATATTAATATCATAAAAAATATTTACTCAATTCTGTTCTGCTCTTCTTGGCAATATTATTTGTTGTATTAACCTCCATGCAGGAATTATTTTTTGTTTTCCAAGGCTCTTGTGAGTTTTTTAACAAACATTAATAAACCTTTCTTGTCGAGAGGCATGAAATAAAACGTTTTTTTTTTCTCGAAAACGGACTGATGTTTGAAAAAGATACAAGAGTCGAAGAAGCTGTATTTTTAGATGCTTAATCAAACAATAAATACTAAAGCTACAAAAAAAGCAGAGGCGAACATTTTTTTGCCAATAATATTCGCTAATGCGCCCCCCGGGACGATACTGGTAAAATAATTTTAATCTATTTAGGGCTAAACTAGCCTCTTATTTTAGCAAATAATATTGCCAAATTTCAACATCGAGTTAATATTTTTTGAGATATTGATAGAAGCTTTTTTAAATTTTACACCCTATATCTAAAAACTCTGCATTCCTGGACCCATATTTATAACAACAACTTTTTTTCATATTTTTTAACAAGGAATCAATCACATTGTAAAATGTCTATGTTCATTTTTCAAACATCCTGTATATTAACAAATAACTAAGAAATAAAAGTAGATTTTGTATAATAACTATACTAGATGTTGTTGTCTGGAATGACCTTTGATTTGGTTTCTCTGCAACTGTCCTAATGAAAATGTTGTTTCCTTTCACTTAAGGTCACAGTATCCTACTAATCTGCTCCATGAATTAGTTCTTTATCAAACTAAGTCATGTCAAATATCTCTGCTGTAAGGTTTAGATGACACACTTGCAGGTAGGCTGAAGCTTCACCCTCTTCCCAGCAGCTGGAACAGTTAGGATCCTTTCCTATTCCCATGTGGACAAATGTTTGTTTAATTTGCAGTCACCTGAGAAAATATCACAAGATTGAGCTACTTCTTTTTTCATATGCTATGATTGTGGATAATAGTTATCAAGCAATTTCCATGTTTATTCTAGTCCAGTGTGTACATTATAGGCTCTTGAAAAACTGTGATAACTGGGTTGCGCACGTACCCTGGGAATGTTCCATGACAAATAAATGTCTTGCTTGATATACAATATGCCATAAAACAGTTTGTTCAGATCCATGAAAAAGCTAACACGGTTTATCAGTTTATGCCTAGTTTGATGGTATTTTACATATTAGAATGAGTTTATTAAGCAATGAATATTTAAAATAAGCTCTGGTACAACTTACTGCTGTTTGCCGATATCTTCTTTTACTTCCCACGCCTACAGGCGAGGAAGTATTGTAATCGCGAAAAATTTCGAAAATGAGATATCTTTTTTGGATGATTGTAGATCATTTACGTCGGTCTGTCCGCTAATCCTATAACCGCCTATAACTTGAGAAGTACTGGATTTGACTGAAATGTTTACACAAGGTTACTACTATGCCAAGGACGAACAAACTTTAGTTTTTGAAAATCGGTCCAGTGGCGGCGGAGCTAGGGCAAAAACTCGAAAAAATAAAATCTGTTCAAACTTTGTTTTGTTTGACATTTCACATGCCCCTGATCATTTTCAGAAAAAAAACTGTAGGAGTTGAGATCTGGGGTTAGGGGTTGTATGAGGTGGGGGAAGGTATATCTCATTGTTTTGGAGGCAGTATATTTATGCGCTTCCAACCTCAATAATTTTACGCGCCTATCAGTACATAGTTCATACATCGAAGATTTCCCCATACATTTGCCCTTATAACTTATAGCCATACGCGATCTGTCGGGACTAACTTCGGCCGAATATAATCCTATATGCGTGGGAAGAGCAGAGTCAACCTACTTGACGCCATTTTTTTACGAAAGATAATTTCACTAAGATTAAAGTGTAACTCGATCACTTGTTATAACTGTAATCATAATGATTACAAAATCATCTTAAGATAAACGAAATATGTATACTGCAAATACCTGAAAATATATGTCATCTCTAGATTTTTGGTAAGATAAGCAATAACCAGTAAGAATTGAAGTTAAAATCCAAATACGTTGTTTACTGATCAGCATGATAATTACTGATTAAAAATATACAAACTGATTTCTATTTGTTTCCCAATAGATTTTCATTTCCTTAAACATCATTATTGCAATACAGGTAGTAATGCTTGCATCCTTGTGACAGCATGCTTTCACAATATGACCAATTCTATTTCAATACATTAAATATTCACTGTATTTATCTGTTTTGCTGACAGAACCAGTTATCTTTGTAGGAAACCAAAGTATTTAATAAGGGTAATAACAATAATCGCCTTTATTGTTTGACTTGACCGAAATGTCGAAAAAATAATAACTTTAAAAAATGTGATCAGCTATCTAAGTTTGAAATCAAATCTTCAAGCACGTGCACAAAAAATACACTTGTTTATGCAAGAGGTGATTTTTCAAATCATATTTAATCGTCGATTTAAACCTATTTAACGACTATGCTGACCACAACGCATTTAGTAGAAAAAACTTGAAAATAAATTGACGTTGATATGAGTTATTTCAAAAGCCAAACCTAATGTACTTTAAATTCATCTAGAGTTTAGATTCCAGTCTTATAGACATACGAGGAAATTGCATAAATACAGAGCGTTACAAGAAATAGAATGGCAGAATCATCACGTTAAGATACGAAACAGTGTTCTTATAGAAATAGTTCTGGGTATGTTCCGTTTCCATAATACGGGGTACTTAAACTTGTCCGTTTTTGATAGTTCGCCTTACATTTCTCAAAAGCAGGTACATGCCAAAGCATGTCAATCGTCAGCTTATCATGGACAAAATTGTTTTAATCTCTACGCCAGTGGAGCTCGTGCTGACAAGTCTTAATGTCTAGAGACAAAACAGTACGCCACTGATTTCTGAAAAAATAGTTTTGTTTCACAAAAAAAAAAACGCTACGGACAACCATATGACTTGAGCGAGTTCAAACTTGTACTGAAGGCGGATCACATGCTCCCCTGTCTCCCCACCACATAGACGTGATACATATAGTGTGATTTCTGAAATATGGTCCTTTGATATTTTAGTCGATGATTCACATAAAAGAAAAGAAGGACATGGACGATTCATTCAAGAAAGCCCAGAAACCATGGGCTAAGCTTTTACAGAAAGTAGAAAAAGCGAAAACAGACTATCACACTGCATGCAAAACAGAAAGGTCGGCCGCAAACCAAGAGCGAAATGCTGCTGGGGATACCTCACTATCTGTAGATCAGGTAAGGAAGTAAACAAATATTTACATATTGTATACCTAACTTGATTCTGAGGATCCGCCTTATTCTCTTGTTTTTTTATCAAAAGCCTGAAAATGAATCTCTACTTCTGACTAATACAAGTGAGACAGTGTAATAGCATTTTTTTTTCAATTGGAGATAACACATTTTTATATTTTATATTCGTAAAAAGGTAACGATATTATCTGAATCTATATTAGGATATACTGTTTTAATTATACAACTAAAAATTATTTTAAATTGTCACACCTTGTTTTTTAGTCCTAATGTATTTTTTCCCAAAAATTTTTCATTTCGATGGAACAAATATTTCACAACTCGTTTCCGTTTTTTTTTCTGTAAACGAGAAGTCGTAAAACTTGCTCTAAAAGGTTCAAATCTAAAACTCCGCGCCAAAGCGGTGACGTATTAAGGTCTAGCATAACTTACTGAATTTTCCACGCCCTAACCTCAAAACGTGAATATACTTCTGCCATATGTGACCAAAAAAACGTTTATTCTTACATTTTATTTTCTCTGGTGCCTGGAATCAAAAAATCTAATTTTTTTATCTGATTTTTATGCAGGATTTAAATGAGATTCTCTTTCAAAATATGATGTATAAATACGGTTTTTCCAATAAACGAGCGAAAAAGCGAGGATCAACTGAATCTTGCTTGAAAAATGGTTGTAAACAATCTATTTCATACTGAAATACTGGACACACTGATTAGAACTACTCACCAATGATTACGTTCAGTTGCAACTGCTTCGAGATAGCGCTGCGTGGCTTCTGTCAGTCAAGGTTTTCAAAATTTTCAAACCAATCTATTAAAATAGCGCTAGTTCATAGCGGTTAGGCAGATTGAACATAACGAATTAATGCATCCCATCGAATTTGAATAGATTATATTATATGTTCATATTGCGCTGCCTGTCGCCAAAATTGCGTAGTTTAGTTTTGTCTGCCAGTGTGACAGTGTATCAACATAATACTTACCGGAGGAAACATCTACCTTCATTAGGCTTGTGCTGCTCTTTGCAAATTATATAAGAAATAGCACATCTTGAAATCGTCCAACAACGCAATTATCTGTAAACACTCACATTTTTAAAAAATAACACTAAAACTACGAATTTAATGACAGTCATTTTTTGACAGTCTATCAATACAATCAATTTTTTGACAGTTCTGTCATTGAGTTCGTAGTTTTAGTGTTATTTTTTAAAAGTGCGATATGTAGTGTTATTATGTCGATACAACGCTGTCACTTCAGTACGCATTGGTCAAAAGTATGCACTAAAACTACGCAATTTTGGCGACAAACATTGCAGTGTAAACATAATAGGCCTTCTAATCTACTATTACCACACCTAAGTAAAGCGGCACACCGGTGCAGCGTTTTTATGCTGAATAGCAGTAGCTTTGACAGTTCATAACATTGGACAAACATCTATTGAGCACAAAAGCCCTGCACCGCTGGACCGCTCTACGTTAGCTGAATGAAACCAATAATATGGCCAACAAGATTAAGTAGTTTCTGTAACAATATTGGTCATCGCGTAGAGGTGACATTGACCAGAAAATCATGCTAAAAGTAACTTTAAAATATTTTTCGGTCTCCTTTATTACACAGATAAAATTATATCTATATATCGCATAACCGGCCCACGATAGCTAATTTGCTTTAAAAATAATTTCGCGCCGGTCTAACCTTTCTGTTCGAGATAAGTATGTAAATATTATAATGAAGCAAACCATAAAAATGCGCAATGTAAACAAATAAATCTGCGAGCTCGCTGTGAGAATAATCGAGTGAAATGTGGTAAATGATGTTTATGTGAGCTACCGATTGATTTCAATTTAGGTATAGGTCATTCAGAATTCAGAATAGTGGTAAAAACGTGGGACTGATCATTTTTAAAAAACTCAATCACGATGAATCAAATAAATTCTGAATGAAATATGATGAGTTGAGACATTGCTTGGATCTTTATTTCGACTTCCTTCAACTTGGCGCGAAAGTCTCACATAATCTAGTGTCGGCGCCGGCGCCTCAAATTAATCAAGTGTTACAGACCAAAAATACGGGAATAAAGTTATTTGAAATACTAATAATAAATAGACGCAGTTCTCCCATGCGGCCTCTCACCCTTGCATGTCTCTAGCCACATGACAATATAAACAAAGCAGATGCCTTCGATACATCCAAATATGCTACCCATAATCGCTCTTATTTATTACGTCATCATAGGCGGAGGGTTCGGTAACACAAGGTCAAATGTGACAAAAGTCCCTTACAATTTTAGTATAAGATAATATTTCATAAAATTAATCTCAAGATAGAATATTATGAATAAATATTGATTAATAATCCATAAAAAATAATATATTTTTTCGCAAAGCCTGCGAATGCATTCTCAATATTGCGCTTAGATTGTAGAGCTTCATATGCTCACATTGTATTCATTCTGCTTGAAATGCGAGTATCTTTTTAATTGCATAGGGGCAATGCGCCTGTTTAGGCTGCAGTTGATTTCAGAATGCTCATCAAAAGATTGGGCTATGGTTTAGATTAGATAGAGGGAATTATTGTTAAAAAAAGTTGCACTGGTCCTGTATTTTTTGTGTGCATTATTCACAGATAATATGTGTTTCGAAACATCTATTAAAGAAGCTGCGGTGATAGCCAAAACGTCGGCCAAATTATTATCTGGGTTCCGTTTTAGTATGTATATGTCTATAACATAGTCTGACCTGATAATTATTCTAGTGTTGTTGATTTAAAATTTGGAATCTCAGTGGAACATACTTCACTTTTTTACGATTTTATGAAACACGAATTCTTTCAAGGTGCTATAAATAACTATGACATCCAGTATATCTGTTTATACTTTCCTTAGATAATTGTATATAAGTGACTCATTCTTACATATTTAAATACAATACACAGTAAAAGTATGGGAGCATCCTCAGAATACAGGATTTAAGATGTTTGAAGGATAAATTCTCTAATTGTTCTCATTATGTAATTAACCGTTTATGAATTCGGAATATTAAACTGATACAGAATCTTACATCCTCGCACCATAGAACAATTCAGGACTTTTCAATATTCCAAAGATATCCCTCTGCCCTTTCATGTCTGCTTTATAGCTCAATCTTTTCACAGTAGATTCCTAATTATTACGGAAAGGAGAAACATGATGTTACAAATTTTCATAGAAAAATATTACAAGAGGATGCCCATCTTGAAATTATCAGCTGTTACTTTTATCTAAAAATACGGTGTTTATGCGTCAAGTTCACCACTCTGCATTTTAACTTGCTAACTTGACCCAAAAAGCATTGTACATATTTATTTTGTGATTAGTTTTAAAATAGTTGAAACTTCAGAACAGGAAAATAATTCTTTCGCTATTTTTCTAGTTATATCCATGTATATTTTTTATCAAGCACAGAAATGATATGCCAGGGTGAAGCGTGAAGTTAAAAATGAATGTGTCGAAATCTAGTTTTCCGAAAAATTAATCCTTCATGTATTAATATACCATTTCTATGCACTTGAAGTATGAATTTACCCACATGTCGTACTAGTTATTTCCTACGCCAGTCGCGAAAATTTTCGATGAGATATGATTTTTGTATGTACATCACAAAACATTGTCACTCATTTCCCTCAGTCTGTCCGCTAATCCTTGACTCCGCTATAACTTGCAAAGTAATACTGCTAGAGAACTTATCAAGACTCAAAGACACAAATGTGTACCAAAAAAAGTGACAATCTTATTGGTATAGAATGTAACCAAATTTCCTATGAATGTATTTCGTTGTGCATTTTTTAGATTCCATTCTGTGAACATGAATAGTGTGAAAAGCAAGATTTGGTCATATTTCACTACGTGTTGAAATGTCATTCTGCAGTATTTCTATCTATTTCAACAAAGTTGTCAATTGAGCCTGGATTGACTGGTTGTTCTTGATTTGCAGGTTAAGAAAATGCAGGACAGAGTTCAGAAATCGAAAGAAGAAGTACAAAAAGGTCGAGAAAAGTACGAATCGGCCTTACACGAAATCAATCAGTACAACCCCAAATACATGGAAGATATGACGGTGGTGTTTGACAGATGTCAAGAGATGGAAGCACAACGACTAAACTTTTTCAAGGGGATCCTTTTCGAGATACACAAGTATCTTAATGTTTCTCAGGACCCGACGTATGTATTCATTTTGTATTCCGTTTGAAAACAATGTACTATTTACTTCTTTAGAATGGTGTGCGTGTATATATATATAATATTATTCTAGATTCTGATAATACAAACAAGCATGTTATTTTTCTAAAATTGTGGTTTCGTTGCAGGTTGAGCCAAATCTACGAAGAGCTCTACCACACAATCAACAACGCAGATTACGAGAAAGACCTGAAATGGTGGTCGAACAACTACGGCGTCAACATGGCGATGAATTGGCCACAATTCGAGGTAACATCCAATAATTTTGTTGCATTCTTACTTTTGGTTTTTGCGTTTGGCTCTGTTTGTTTTACTTTTGGTTTTTTGCGATTTTTTACGCAGGACTACACCGAGGAATTTCGAGATATACACAAGGGGAAATCAAAAGACTCGTCGCCATCTGGGATCACGCTGATTAATCAAAGACCAGTGGGAGAAGACTTGCATGTATGCTTTATTTTTTTTTATTTTTTTCGCTGTACATATTTGCAATATCATAGAATATAGCAGAGAATCTGGGAAGCTTCTTTACTTCGAAAGATAATTCTTTTAACAATTTTCCGATTATTGTACTCTACAGTTGGTAGAGGTGCTTACTAATTTTTCATAACCAGAGTGTATTTCTACAATTTTGCAACACGCTATTGTGACAAATATTTAATGCATTAACGGTTGCTTGTTGATATGGATAGTGTCCGAGATATTTGGGGAAGGTATAGCCATCTTGCTTTACTAGCAGCATCTTCATAAACAATGCGCAGTTACCTTACGTGGAATCGCTTGATTTGAGCTTTTGGTGAATGTTTGAATGTTTGACAAGGAATAGCTTTCAGCTTACCATTGCTGTTGTTCGAAATTTAAACGTACAAGAAGAAAAAGTATGGCTTAAGCAAGTATCAAAAACAATTCAGCTCAAGGTATAAAACAGGTCCAGCGAATCCACCTAAGACTTTATCCACTTTCTACAACATCAAAAAAGAAAATGGGCCGAAATCGGCTGTCAAGTATACGTGAAAACGTTGTTATTGGATCCACATAAGGGTTAAGTGGTGGAATAGCTTGTAGCTAAAATTCACTCTAAGTAAAAATATTTTATTATTATAACATGGATATTTTGACACTGATGTGCGTATCCTGAACAAATGTCTTGTGAGCTGCAAGAAAATCTTAACCCTTAGAGTAAAAGGGAGATACAGAGAAATAGTAATAGTACGGACTTTTTACTTAATAGACAACAGATAATCAGGCCAATTCTGTTCCATAATAGCAATATTATATTTTATCATTGTAAATAGAACTTGTAATGAGAGAGTCTGCAAATTCCCTATTTTGTTCAATATATCTGAACAAGGTGATCTGTCACTTTAAATATATTGTGTTAAACCGGGGGTGAGTCATTAAATTGAGCGGATTTTAAATACATTGAAAAAAAGTACAAGGCGTGGGGAAGATAATTTATATTTTTAATACAGTAGACACATGGCAATTTTATTTTTTTAAAATAACATATTGATATTTGAGCCATTGAGACATACATATGTATTCCTCGAATCTTCAAATTCGAAAAAATCGCGATGTTTGTTGAAACCAGGTCCTGCTATGGTCAAAATTATGCAGTTGTGGAAAGAAAAGATTACATAGCATTGCTGTGTAGTGTTTAGAAGTTACGGTTACAGTCTGGCCTTGCCCGTTTTCGAAGTAGCATAACGCGAATGCAAAGGCTCTAACATTGTTTCGGCAAACTCACGGCGAAGATGGTGGTCCTGCGGTTTCAATTCCTGTACTACTTGAAGTTTATATGGGTGCAATTTAAGGTCTTTTACCAAAATACCCCTTACAGATGTTCTTAATATGGCGAGCTCAACTCATCTCTTTCGGGATGATAACTGTGTATCGCGCAGTACGGACGTCGCCACTTCGCTTACAGTTTCCTCCGTTCGTATTGACCTTGGACGCCCCGCAGGTTTCTGATTCAGTGTCGAGCTTTTTGACCTCTCGACCTGATCACACTTTCACTAGGACATTGATTTACATCATGTAAACTAAACTCGGAGCGAAACAAATGCCGCGCAATAGTGCACGAATCTCCATTTTCGTAATAAGCCTTAACGCACCGGTAAAACGCTCCATGCCGATTAAATTTCCGAGAGCCAAGCTACTTATCCCCACTATCCATGTCCCGCTCCCGCGTGCCTGTCACGAGCAATGCGGTTTTGAAATTCGTACGTCTTTCTAGTCCACCCTGTACTATTTTATCTCGACAAATAGGATTTGTGTGGTTGCTTAACTAAAAAATAACATTTTTACTATGGAAAGTGATAGTAATCCTGTGTATGTTGATGTTTGCAAACACTATTTTACTTATGTAACCTCAAAGCATTATTATTCCAGTCGAATCCTACACTTGCAATTTCGAAAAATCAGGTATGCACGTAATCCTTTCGATTGGATTTCATTTGAATAAATGAAAGAGCGCCAACGCAGCTGAGGGGTCAACCGCATGAGAATCTATCCAGTGACATTTTCATTTGGATTTTGTTAGTTATTTTGTTTTTTGAGAACCTTAGATCTCGATGTTTAGTGATCCGAGTTAATCACAGAATGGCAAGCGTTACAGAAAGAATATATGAGACTTGAAACACCCAAGCTCTTCATAGTTTATCCTTCTGACAGAAGGAATGAAATATGAATCATAAAATTCGAATAACCCTACTACTACTAAAACCTACAGCTTCCTGAACAAAAACTTGAAGTTTGGGCATTATGGCGTTTCCCGAATGTTCACATTTCCTCTTATTGATAATAGCATTGCTTTCACCTTAAACTTCTAACAATACTTGCAGTCAATCTTGTTAATAGTTCCACTAGTAGCAATATGGTTTAAATAACAATATGTTTAACATGTTCCAAACAGAAATGGCCTGAGTAGAATGTCATCACATGATCAACCTAGAGCAGCTAGCTGTATTACTTCTTAAACTCTCATCTCCCCTTTATCATATCTCAACAAAGGAGTATTCCCTAGTCAGTCAATGTTGCATTATAATAGGTAAAATATTGCTCCCATGTACATTACAAAAATGGTACAGTACCTCATATTTTTATTACGGATATCGATAACACGTAACCATATTTTCTTTTCCAACTGTCATTATCAGAGAATAAAGATTATTTTCCTCACATCTCACTAAAGCCTAACATCCACGACAAAAATAGGATCACATTCTAAGGAAAAACTGATTAGCTTTAGCACGAAAATTTCCGTATCAGTGAAACATTTGAAACTTATCCCATGGTTTACATGTCGATAATCCCCGATCTGGACTGGCCAATAAAACTACACGTATTGACATATCTTCTTTACAGTAAACGTTTTAATCACAAAGGTGATCTCCTCAAGAAGACAATCTGTCAATACACATGATTCTATTGGCCAGTCAAGCATGGGGGATTATTCACGTATTAACTTTGGACAACAAGATGTACTTGTTGTCGTTCAAAGAAAACATCTAGAATATACTCTCAGGCTTAGTAATGAAATTCCATGTAAATAAAACATTTGGAAAATACCTCATTTGACATCCGATTTTATCCCATTTGCTTGTGGAGAACAGGACGAAACAATTATTTTGATAAAATGTGAACAAAGCTAAACGATGTTGAAATTTCGATATAACGATGCCATAGGATTACTCGATATCGACGATACAGAAGTCTGAAAAGAAGGCTGCGGCTGCAGCGCCACCTACCGGCGCATCGAACGCCTCTACGAAGTCAGCTGCATCGACAACCTCACAAAGTGCGCGCCAAAATGGCGTCAAGGACGGCACGGCAAAAGCAGAGGGAACGCCAAACGAGACGCCTCGAATTACGTAAGTATTTTTGACCAACTTCAATACCGTCAAAATATGATTAATATATTTTATTCTTGCCAAGTGACATGTTCTTTATAAGAAACTCGTGAAGTATTGCTTGCCGATATTATGAAATATAGTAAAAGTAGAGTCTGAACATTATCCTCGCAAGTGTAACCATGTTACGCTATTAGTGATACTTTTCGATCCTATGGAAGGAATTTGCTATTTTAAGATATGCATGAAATCATATGTTACGGCGAGTAAACGTAAATGAGGCAGCCGTTTTATTTTGGAAACCCTTTTTCTAGGAACGGTAGTCCAAGCAAAGCAAACGACTCGAATCCATTCGAAGAAGAAGATTGGGAAGAAAATGATGCCTTAGTCGATAACGGCGAACCTGGTGTACCTGTTAAAGCGTTATATGATTATGAAGGGGCGGAGAATGACGAACTCAGTTTTAAAACAGGTAAGAAGAATAGTGGTGAAATTGAATACGAGTATATACATACCTTAAATATGAATATTCGAAATGAAAATAATTTAAATGCAGGCTCGTTCTAGTAATCATTTTCAAACGGCTTGCAGCCATCGAAGTTGGTCAGTTATGCGAATTTTTAAAAGAATATTGCTCATTTATGTGTCAAACTGGATTTGTTAACTGTTTCGAATCATCCACAACAGTAAAAAATTAGTGGCCAAGTTAAAACAAATTCTCATATATTCGTGTAGATTGAAACAAACACAATGCGGCTGTCTTAAAATGCATCTTCTAGCAAACGTATGCAACTGTGCAAATATCTATAACCTATTTTTGTCACTTCAAGTGAAATCACGAACTATCACGTAAACTCACGAGTTTTAAACTTGGATGCAGGTTTCTGTTAATCCATCAATTTGGAGTTGCATGATATCTCATGAGTTCACGTGACGTGACGATATTGCGATTTCGCCTCAACACACAAAAACCAATTAGTTTTTGTGTTGTTAATTCTGTATTTGTTAAATGTTTTCGATTTTTTTATACAGGTGAGCGCAGATTAGAAAGGTAACTTCAGTTTTCATTATTTAGCTGCTACCAAGCATTCATTTCTATCATTGTAGCTTATTTTTTAATGCTGAACTGGACTTTAGTGATAATGATAGAATAAGAAGCGTATCTTACAATCTCTTTGCTTGATCTATCATAATGTCTTATCTATTCAAGAGTTACCTTTCTGAGGTATCTTTTAGTTTGGCTAGATTCTTCGTATCAGTTTAACTGATTGATAATAGACTTTTTCATATCGCTAATTTGATAAGTAAACCAATGTAAAACAAAATATCTAAAATACGTTTTTGGTCTGACATACGAGGAGAGAGGATTGTGCAACATCTTGTTTATTTTATTGAGATATCAATGTGGCTAAATAACGTTTAAATAGTCTTTTTATAAAACTACTTTCCATTTTCCTTGGGACACCCTGTATAAAAGATACCCTTATATTTCATTCCGCGGTTTTTGGCTAGTCACGCGGTAAAACTACCCTCATCACTTTTATACATCAACCTCCCTCATACGTATGCACACTGCCTGTGTCTGCGCACATTTGTTTGTGTAAGCTCGGATATAGGAGGTCTGTGGTTAAAATTGATGAGACTGGGCTTGGAGGGGAGACAGGGGAACAGCTGATCCGCCTTTATGAACTAGCACGAATCACTTGACATGGACGTACCATTTTCATTTTTATTGATCTTCATAATATAATACAGCAGTAGGTGGAAATGCAACTAACGGACAATACCGATGGATTTTGCCAAAGTTATATTTTAAGAAAGTGAATTAAAGTAATCAATTCATTTGTTCAGAAGCAGCTGCGATAAGATCGGTTTGCCCAGTGCGCTATTTTCCTATGGAACTTTCGCTCCGCACATGGTTCAGAATTGGTGACGTAACCGCAAAAAGTGTGGCAAGAACTATACGTCATTATGACAGTTGACATTTGCTGAGAATAAGCCAACAAATGATAATTCGGATTTTGCCGGTCTAATTCAGGCTATATTTTTTTTACTTCCACAGACTCAATAAACAAGATGTTTGCTGAGTCATGAAAAATGTTCAGTGCGGTAATTTTGCAATATCTGGATTATTATATCTTATACCCTAATAGTATCCATTGATAAAATGATGCACTCGTGCATGCTCATATCCAGGCGTTGTACTAATAACATGTGTCTTAAAAGTTTTGGCACAAAATATTCATCGTGATATTATTTTGTGTTTATTAAAATTAAAGCAAATGAATTTTATGCCAAAACCTTTAGGACATACGTTACTTGATAATGTTGATACATTCTGAGACATTTTAGGTGTGCGCGTTGAAAATTAGCAAAAATAAAACTTAGTAATTGAGGAATGTTTCTTCAATTCTACGTAATTGTTCAGTGGTTTTTCTCCAACAATCACAATTTTATTCGATACAGGAGACGTATTCGAGAAGCTCGAAGACGAGGACGAGCAGGGCTGGTGTAAGGGAAGAAAAGACGGTAGGGTGGGACTCTACCCGGCCAACTACGTGGAAGTGGTGTCGTCCCACTAACGTCTCGCCACAACACGCGAAGATGAGTCGATTGTTATTTTTTGAAAAGAGTGCACGTGAAATTGACTGGCGGTGTTGATCACCACATGTCTTCGAGAAACTCTAGATGCGTATGTAGATACGCGGGGTGAGAGGAATCTGAGTCGATTTGTGTGAAGGTACTGGGTAGATAGCATGCTTCTTTTTCAGTTTACACTTCACCAAACCAATTTAAATTATTAATAATTTTAATCTTCATATAATCTATTATTAGCTATTTATAAAAGTGCAACTTGAAGAACCTATGAACTATGAACATTACATCTGGGTATTGAGGAATTGATGTAAAATTAACATTTTATGGACATTTTATTGACATATGAAGCAGTTAGCAATGAGCTGCCATTAACTGTTTGAAATACATAAAATATTGTGCTACAACTACAGCAAATTGATCTTAGCTATGGTAACAATACTCGGGGGCATTTTTAATTTCGCATTCAGAAATTGAAAGATTCTCTATTTTTGTAGTCAGCATAAAAACATTGTCTTATATAACGTCCAACTCAGATTGCAGTAGTTATTTCAAGTGTTGCCTTCCACAGTAACGGAGTCAAGTTGTATGAAAGTTATTTTTGTTAGCGTTTTTCTAGAATCTAGAACTATACAGCTATCATTGTCAGTCGACCTCCGGCAAACAGCAATTTTGTGTGGTTGACTGATTGTAATAAATCCGACTTTATCTGCAATACTGCGGTGATGTGTACTTTATCAGTAGGACTTCCAGGCGTTGTTACTTTTCTGTCCACGGATTTCTTGAAGAGTAATATTTTTTTCCTTGAGGCTTGATGTTTCTTGGACACAATGGATTTCTTCTTGGAACAATGATGCTTCCTTGAGGAACACTCAATGGAGGAATTAAATTTTCATTTCACAGTTGGCTGTAACAGTTGTCATCACAAGCTGCCATCGATGTCAGAGGGACTTTTCTTTGCTGGGTGTATCTATTTGGCATTTTGATTATAAAATTTGGATGGTTTGGTGTTTTGGGCTAAATATCAATATCGCAAAGTCATAATGTTTACATCCTCGAATTACAGTTCAATCACAGAGAAGTAACGAACTGAATATAGGCAATCAGTTGCAGTTGCACCAACGTTCTTTTCTGGTTGCAGATTATAAATTACATATGCCCAATTCAACTGCTAAGGTATTGCACAAAAAAACATTTTATACGTGAATTTTGTTATTATCAATAAAAAAACAGTTTATCGAGGAGAGTAAGCATTTAATCGAGGTACTAGACAGACATAAAGGGATCTCTAAGAATAAAAAAGATAGCAGCAGTAGAACAGTTCTGTGTTACTGGTTGCTCCTATTCAGTTTTTCACTTCACTGTGATTGCGCTGTAATTCGGGGAAGCAAACACATTATTATTTTGCAATTGAAAAAATCTTTCTGACGTCGATGACAGCTTGTGATGACAGCTGAGTCATTGTTTCACTGTTTCCAAGGAAGTCTCAAGGAATGTCTCTTAATCTAACCCTAAATAAAGTATGCTGATGAGCGTGATCGATGGACTACGAGAACTATCCATATTTATTTGTTGCTTGAAAACGTAACGTAGTGATATAGAAGGGTCCCTTATTTATTTTTACGTCCACTATTGCTTTACTTACCCTATATCCGATCGTAGTTAAGTTTTTGAGTCCGCAGCGCTACGCACCTTGGTCATTGTTTGCATGCCGTGGGCCCTAGATACATAGGTAACTATTCTCGCGCGGTTTTAGAGAACTGTTACCTCAAAAAAATATGATCCCTCTTTCTCTATTTGACTATATAGATAATTGGAGATGGACAGGATGTTTCCGAAATTGAATGTCATGATATTAAATATTACTTATATCGTGATTTTATTCTGAATCTAAATCCCTTGAAGCGGTGTGACTGAAACATGCAAATAATATAATGTCAAACAAATCCTCTATTTGTTCTATCCAGAACTTTCGTACATATCAGCTAGTTTTATTCACCCTGTAGAGCTATTGCTCACCCAATCTGATTCTAGATATATGTTGTGTAAATGATATTAAGGGTAGCTGTTAATTTATGGATAATTATTATGTATACATAGAGTGGTTTCAGTGAAAAAACGTGCATTTTAGGGAGTTTCTAGAGCTCCATGATGAACCAACAACTTGTAATTTTTAGAGTTTCTATCGAATTGATTATTGGAAATGCTCGATGAATTTCGATGTGAACATAAAGCACCGAATAACAATGAGAATATTCGGTTTTTTGAGATAATTGATTTTCCAAAGATGTGACTACAATGGACCTAATGATTCAAGAACACTGCCATAGAACCTAGAAGTCTATAAATATGAAATACAATTACTGATGTGTTCCAGAATATTTTCAATTAGTCAATCTTCCAAAAAAACGAATGGTTATATAGCAATAATATACAAATTGGTTCAAGATTTCAACATGCTAGCACTGTACTTAACAGATAGACTGATGAATATGAATCTACTGTAAGGCCTATACATATACAGGGTGTTTTCATTCAAACAAATTATAAACTTATATTTTATGTATCACTTTTGAAGTCGAGGAAAGTGGCTTGAAGTCTTGAACTTGTAATATTTCTGTATAAATGACAGATTCATTAATGACCAACGGTATTAGATGTGGAAAATGATTTATCTCTGACAGCAAATTAACTCTAGAAGTGTATCAATTGAGGTACTCAAGACCAGGTAGGTGCCCAATTTGCATTTGAACTGCCATATCGTATGGGAAACACTGTAAGTATATTTTGGCTCTAATAACTTTTTATCGAATAAATTACGCGTTTATTAATATTTGTAGATAAAGAAGTGTTGTCTCTCGTACTACTTATAACATTTCTATTGATCATTCGGTAGAAACTACTTATGAAGTTAAATGTAACTACTACTTGCCAAACTAGAGTTGATGCAATCACTGTTTACTATGTAGCAACTTTTTTAACAGAGTATTGAAAAGTACCTGTGCTTACAAATCCACGTAAAAAATGTACACACCCACACTCACATTGGAGATGGACGACAAGTTTGAAAGAATATGCGTTCAACTCCATATGGGGATATTGTAAAATTGATTCACACCTCAAAAAGTCTTCCAACTAAACTGATTGTTTTTGAACGTAGATATTTCATATAGAGATATTTATCTTGAAAACATCCACCGTAAATCGTAATTCAACTAGGCAAATTATCACACAATATTGATATGACAGAAGAGTTCTTTCGATTTTGTCTTGCATCTCTCGAAACCGAAACAGCACTAAAAGGAGTATCACAAGTAAATTATGTAAAACAATTGTTACTGTTGTTGATGGAAATTGAAAACATGTTGTTTTTAAGAATGCTGATAGTATTTTGGACCACTGTTGGTGCTTAGTAATTCCACGACATAGGAATTTAATGGAGATAGATATTATGGTAGTTTGTGAAATATCAGTGATAGATAATGCAAGTTATCAAATAAGTATCAGTCTTCGATTGACAGTGGTGTAGGTTGATCGAAGACATCAGATATTAATATCTAAGATAGAAAAGAGGTTGACGACCGATTTATATGGGACACACTTATTGAGTAATGTTGACAAGTGTTTCAACTCATATTTTTCATTGCTAGTTGTCAATGAAATGGAGTAACGAAAATAATAGCTGAGGTAGCAAATCTAGATAATTCATGATAGTTTGTTCTGATTTTTAATTAACAAAATATTGTGTTGACACTTTTGTAGTTCTGGAAAATTCTGTTTTCAACGGTTTTTTGGAGCTGACACACTTGTTGACTTACTTATATATCAATATATACTGACACATAAACACATTGCTCATATTATTACTTTTTGTGTTATTGGAGTATATAATGTATCGTACATATATTTATTTTATTATATCACTGGAATCACTTGACACAGTATTTATGGAGTACTATTATTATAAACTAGGTGTCCAATGGGAAGGACTTTAAATAACATATATATTTTTTGTTATATATTGTCAGATTATTTTAAGAAATATGTACCCTGTATAGAGCAATACAATAACTAATGGTATTAAATTAAAATGTTATGTTTGTAAAAAATACACACGTAAAAGAACAGGATTTTCGACAATTTCATTCGAAGTAGTTTTATTTTCCTTGAATATCCAATCCCATTTACCTATGTGGATTCTTTGAAAAGGTGCTTATTAATTACCAAGTGGTGTATTATCTACCAGTCAAGCATTTCAGAGATTTCTCCTCATTTTTAGATATTGCTTGGAGGGGATGACAATTGTATGTGGTAAATGGTTGTAAATTGATGCATAATTGGTGTCAAAGAAAGATCTGTTTTTTAAGAACTGCTAATCTTAGTGATGCCATGCACCTGGTAGACATAATAAGTCACACATATTTTCCCTACATTTGCCATGGAAACAGAAATATGATATGCAGAGGTCGAATATTGATCATACCTAATCACAATTCGAATTCGCCTTTTTGAAACGATTTGATCCATCCTGTTTCTTTGAAACCTTCAACGAAGGTGTAGGAAATATAGAGTCAATCTACTTGCCGCTATTTTATCCCATATCTTTTTAAGAATTTAACCCCTAATCACACTAACACAGGAGGAAAAAAAATTGGACATCACTGCTTCAACGAAGGTGTAGGAAATATAGAGTCAATCTACTTGCCGCTATTTTATCCCATATCTTTTTAAGAATTTAACCCCTAATCACACTAACACGGAGGAAAAAAAATTGGACATCACTGCTATAAACGGTCACACTGAGGATAGGGCTGGGAAACGCTATAACTTGTTACGTCACAGCTTTGGTGCAATATTGCCGCATATTGTTCACAGAAAAGATGAAAATACTTATTAGAGGCAAAATACTGATATTGCGTTAAACAAAAATTTTGGAAAATATTCCACATACCCCGCAGAATCACAAAAAGTGCAGCCTTAGCTTTCCCGTTTTGTTCAGGATTTTTGTGTTTAAAAATAGGGTCGCTTAAAAGGAAATATCAATTATTTTTGTTTTGAAGTCGGAGAAGTTTGTAAATTACTTGAGGAACGTCCTGTAAAGTAACATCATTGTGAGTGAAGTGTCAGTTGTATCAAAAAGAAAAATGCTTCTTCAAGTGGTGAATAGGATGAGACCACTGCAACAGCGTCGGTTGATGGGATATTTCCTACCTAATAGGGACCAGTATTGGCTTAAGAGAATCGGTACTAGAGAAATGGTGGGGTATGGAATGAATGGGACGCCTATGTATATAGATACGGTGAATTTTCCTTTTTCTGCTATCAGGTAACTCTATTAAATGACATAAATTTGGAGTACCAAGTAATCATTTAGGGCGGTAGGAAAAAGCATCGAAAAAGATTTCTCTCCCGAGAGATGACTTGGCATGCCCACTACTCCCGTCGCAGGATTCTTAACATGCTTTTCAAAACCACGGAAGAATTTTTACTTCTGAGCATAAATATCGCGGTGGAAGATGTCGGCATGACTCGTTATCATCCGGCAGCCGACGGTATGCCATGAGATACTCGTGAGGATTTTCTCTCATCAATGTGTGTTGCCCGGAGAGAAACTTCTAGAACTGCTGTTACCGTCCTCGTGTGTACGATAGCATGATAATGTGCACTACAAACTATAAAGGAACGACACCTAGTGTTGCCTAACCGAAAATACGAAATCGGTAGATAGTGTCATAGAAATTCGGTAGAACAAAGGACAAAATCGGTAGGAAAATAAAAAAGGTATATTTTTCTATTGCACGCGCGCACACGCGACACGGTACACAGGTTTTCCGTGAACATATAATGACAAATGGGAAACATTTTGTTATTGCAAACATACAACACACCCAGGTGTACAGGATTTCTGTGTATAAAAACAAATTAAAATTATATTTCTTAAAAAAAAAAACTAATTTTGTATATTTTTACAAAAACAAAATATAACGACTATGCACCATTAGGTTTCATACACACCAGTATGTATAACTGGTACAACCTAAAAAACCATTATAAGAGTTGTGGTTCAAAATTTGGTCAGCTCCTTTCTTTTTAATTGCATCACCAGGATAAAATCGATTGCATCAACCGTGGCGTACCAAGTGTTTTGATACCCTTTATCCTTCCGCTACCAGACTATACGATTTCTCAGCCAAAAAATGAACAAAAATATTTTGTCCAAAAATTATAAGTCAAGACTAAAACATAATTTACATCAAGAATCGAGTTGGCTGGATTTGGCACCAAACGATTCTATTGAAATAACAAATCATTCCAATCGTCCTTGAGATCATACCAATGTTGTGTGAATATACTAGAAATCATGATGTTATTAATATTGAAATTTTAATAATTTCCTTCGTTTATGATTCCGTGATCTTGAAACTTCATCACCCGACATGTTAATTGAATGTTTAATTCAAAACAGACGAGCTTTGGTTTCTTTGTTGCTTATCCGGCAATGGGGTAATGATAATTTACCCAAATCTACATCCCCCGTGTGGCGATTGCCTCAAGTGTAGGCATACGTATGATTGGTATGGGACAGAAAAGTACATCGAATTCGTCTTTTGACTTTATTTTTGCAGCAAAAAATCTGGAAATATCTTAAATCGTATACATACCGAAATTTCGGTAACACTGACGACACCGCACGAGCACGAACCTACAAAATATATACACTTAGGAACCGATTATAGATTTCGATGGTCTCGTTTCTGAACCCGAACTCGATGGTTTTTCAAAACAGTTACCAAAAGTCAACCGGGTTGATTTTTAGCGAACTGCTTGAAATACATGCTTCTGTGGATTCGGATATTGCTTGGCTTTTAATGTCAAAGACTCCCAGTAAAGAACGGTCTATCTGTTGTGCCTATGCATTGTGGGTATATTATTTAACTTTGTTTGCTGCTATTTTTACGGTTTAATTTTCTGCCATAAATTGTCACAATTATTACGTTGCTAGTTTGTAGTCTCTGGACTCAGAAAGCGTAAGTGCGAGAATCCGTATTGCGATATTGGTAGGATCACAATAAATAAATCGACGAATAATTTGTCAGGTTCATTTATATTGATCCGACTATCTAACTTGCGTTGTGGTTCAACAAGGTACAAAGAAACAACACCTGAAATACAGGCCCTGTATGAAAAGCAGAAAGGCAACTGGAAATTACTAACCAAGGAGGAAAAGAAAGCGCTGTATAGAGCGAATTTTTGTCAGACTTATTCAGAAATGTTAGCACCTACTGGAGAGTGGATGGGAGTGGTGAGCTATTTTAAACTATACACAATATATTCTAGCTTCCTGCTCAGTGTCATCGCAAGTTGCCAGCTTATATCCAGTCTGCGATCTATTCTATGATACTTGAGGCGCAGATTGCTTCAAGTTTTGCCTGACGTATAATCTAAGTATACCAGGAGACATGAGAAGAAATACAGAGTCCGTCAGAAAGAACGCATGTTTTTCGAATGGGTACTACATCGAGTGGGCTGGTCCCGTGTCGGTGGGGAAGGGCGTGTTGGATAGTGGGAGAAGTGCCGTTTCAGTTGGCACGTTGAGCATCGTGTGTTCACTGTACGTCGGTACTTTCAAAATGGCGAGTCTGACGTTCGAACGCAACGTGAGTTTCGCGTTCACTTTCGTGTACCACGTCGTGGGACAGTACCAGACCGTAACACCATTTTGAGATGGGTGGAAGCATTTAGCACAACAGGTAATGTGACAAAGAAAAAACCGCCAGTGCGAAACCGTACTGTTAGAACCCCCGAAAACGTAAACATAGTGAGAGTTGACACGCTGCAAAGCCCGAATCGTTCCGTCCGTTTGTGTGCCAGGTCCCTAGGGATCCACGTGTCCTCTGTACGTCGCACCTTGAAGAAGGATTTAGTGTTCCATCCTTACAAAATCCAAGTTTGTCAAGAACTCTTGCCAGGGGATTATCCACAACGTGCTAATTTTGCACCGCTCACGATTGAACAGTTGGATAACAATGACATGACGTTGTTTATGAGTGATGAAGCACATTTTCATTTACATGGTTACGTCAATAAACAAAATTATCGATAGTGGTCTCCAGTGAACACTCAACAGTTATATGAGCACCCCTTATTTTTTTGAGGGTGGTGGAGAAACAACTACTGTGAATTCAGACCGTTACTCAACATGCTGAACAACTTTTTTTCCGGAACTTCGAGGCCGACGTGTCCGTCTCAACAGTGTGGTTCCAACAAGAAGGGGCAACATCTCACACAGCTCGCACTTCGACCGAACTTCTTCGGCGAAAATTCCCAGGACATCTCATTTCACGTCATGGCGACATTCCATGGCCCCCTCGCTCCCCGTACCTGTCAACGTGTCATTTTTTTATGGGGCACTTGAAATCAAAAGTTTACCAAAGCAAGCCTCGGACCTTCGTCGATTTGAAGGAGGAAATAAGAAGAGAAGTAACCCTAATTCCTGCACGGATGCTGGCCGACGCAATGGGCTCATTTTGGGAGAGGCTTGATTCCTGCATTTCGGCTCACGGGCGCCATATGGCCGACATAGTTTTTAGAACGTAAATTTTGTTTTACTCAAAAAAATGGCATGTATTTCTGAGTTTTTTCTCATACTCATTTTTACTGTACTACTCATTTAAAAACCATGCGTTTTTTCTGACGGACCCTGTGTAGTTACTTATTCACCTATTTTCAAGGTTTTTGTTACCCTACCGTAGGCGACTGTCGATATTTTAGGGAGTCCGAAGTGCGGTCAAACCTGGGTTGACTGGTCAGATCGAGCAGTGACCAAGAGATGTGACCAGTCAAACCAAGGTTTGACCGCGCATGGGACACTGACTGCAACATATCAAAAAAGTATAAAAAACGTGTCGTGTACTTTTGAAATTATAGGCTATGCAAAAATCGGAAAAATCTACAGTCAGTGATCATATTTTAGTTTCCATTACTACAAACTTCAAGTTTTTTCTTAGGCGGAGTGACGGACAGTGCCATTCTACATAGTGACAGCAAGACAAATAGTTACTTCACTTTTATTAATTCATGATTGTGTAATACCACCATGTATGTGTACACAGTAAAGGAAGACGTCAACATGCACCTCATTAATGGGGAATGCAGATGCAATGCTAGTGCCGCTCGTCATCCTGATCACCGAGTTTTTGTGAATGTGTGAATTTGTAGTAATGGGAAGTAAAAGATCATTACAGGGTGTAGACTTTTCTGGTTTTTAAGCTTATAACTTGAAAAATGAAATATTATGGGGAGTATCAATGGCAGCTAACACGATGTTACCTGCCTAGCGTTGATACTCTACTTAACATATAATTCAACCCACAGCCAACTTTACCAAGTCACCTAAATTATACATCCTTTGGGGAAGTAGCATCGGGCCCTCGTTGTTATTAACATTTCCTATGATGTCTATGTACTGTGTATTTATTGAATCCTATCCTATCTTTTAGATGGGTGCAGGCTTGATCTTATCTTGCATCGGCGTCTGGATCTTTATCTTATTCCACTTGTTTGTGATAAAAAGGCAAAAGCCGGACTCTTTTAAGCCCGCTCACAAGAGAGCTCAGTTGCGTCGCATAATCGATATGCAGGCTGATCCTATTTTAGGAATGTGTGCCGATTGGGATTACGACAAGATGGAGTGGAGGGTCAAGAGATGGTGGTACCCACCGAATCCATTTGTTAAATGCCTGGATGATCAAGAATAAGCAGCGTTTTGACATAATTGTGTGAATGGTTCTGTTTTAGATGTGTTGAATCTGTAATACGGATTAAATAAAATAAGTGACATGTGCTTTTCTTTTATTCATAGACATTAGCGAGTGGACGTCACGTGAACCTTCGAGCTATCACGCGAACTTATATGCATAACGTAACCTTCTAATTGTGATTTTTCATGAACTTTCATTGTACATAAGGTTTTTTTTATTCACGACGTTTCGATTGATGTGATCTCCAGTCGTCATCGGGTGAACTGGCGAACATGCCTACATGAAGTAAGTGGACTTCATAAATAGTGAACGAAAATGTTAAAAGTAATCCATGTGTTGAAATTAAATCAATATGGCAACTGATTGTAAGGAACATCTAACAACTGCCGGAACAAAGGACACGTCACAACCAACGACCCGCCACTTCATCAAACGGTATAAATGGTAAAGAAAGGAGCATGTTCGACATTTCGCTTGATCACGATTCACATCAATAGAAACGTCGCGAATAAAAGAAAACCGTATAGACACCTTAATCATACACAAAGAAATATTTTATTGTTATCTCACATGCTTCTTCAATTCCTAAATTTATATTTTGATACGAGTGATAGCTGAGTTCACGTGCTGTGGCACAAATGCATTTTTGCCCAGCATATTTCCATCTTTTACTGCTCATGAAATAAAATGCTATATTCCCCTCACCAATAGGCGGGACGAGTGTTTTATGACATGCTTCATGTCTTAAGTATAACTTGGAAGTAGAGGTCATATGCGGCGCGTTCAGAAAACGTATCCATTGTCAAATATAAAATTGTTCAGCTTTTAGAATTTCTTTATTACTACCAATCTTTTACATACATACAAGATATTCGAACTAAGCCTGTAACATGATGCTTTTAATGTTCATTGCGAACGACCTGAAATTATTGCGAGTTAATATGATGATAAAATGTTTTTTAAAATCACTTACTTAGACGTGATTGGTTCTCCAGGTATATAAAACGGATTGCACACAACGTCTGCATATTCTGAATGAATTTTCTTAAACATCTAAAAAGAAGATTCATTAAAAAATCACAGCCGATAATTGCTAGTAATAAAAATCGATACTAGGCGATTGCCTAGTAGTAGTTGCATAAAGGAAAGTGGAAAATGCGGTTTCAGCAAAAAGTCTTGTCAGTATGTTGGCCTATCTATAGTAGCAGGCAGATATCAGAAAAACTCTGAAATAAATAAGAGGAGAGGAAAAAGAAAAGTAGGAAAGATAAAAAACATCAAATGCATCTACAAAAATGTTGTGTTACATACTATACTTACAGATTTTATTTCATTATCTCGTAGAGATGTATTTGTTGAATCAACAATTATGATGATCTTGATTTTAGTATTTGTTACATATCCGTATCTGTAGTAGTGATAAGGAGAAAAATTAATTGATACTAGCATAGACTTTGTAAATGTGGAAAATCTGTTATTTCACATTTATAGCATACTAAGCGGATACTAACAGTAGACGAACAAGTGTTATAATATTGGTAAAAATTTGAATATTCGAAATCCTATAGTTTTTACATAATAACCCTGCCAAACAATGATTTTTTTCTACAGAATGCTCAATGCTTTCGAATACCGTCGACACCTACATTGTTTTCTGCCTTAAAGGATACATTTTGTGTGTTTCCAGTGAATAGAGCATTCCTAAATATAACTCTCTCAAATCTGCCGTACTTGTTTTAACTGTGGGATTCAACTTTTCCTCTACAATGTCTAATGATGAGAGTACTTTATACTGGAAGTTCAACTCTTCCTCCGGATTGGCACACGCAAAAAATTTCGGCGCATTCTGAAAAGTTTAATTTACATTATTCGGTAGCATCACAAAATTGATTAACACTGAAAACCAGATACTCTAACGTCATAATGAGAGAGAAGCGTGCAATAGGTTAAAAGAAATAGAAGCATCTCGTTGCCTAGCAACCCGAGTACAAGGTCACGGATGCCATCGGCGCACTCTTTCTAACATACTGCACGCTTCTCTCTCGTACACACTAGGGACGTCAGCCAAATTTGAACCTGACCGTATATACGGTGCGATATGCATGTTAGTGCACCGAAAGCGTCCGTGGCCTCTTAATGGGGTCGCTATACGACGTCCGTGGGTTTGGTTGGTGCATTTAACATATCGATAAATTTAATACGATACATCTTCCCATCTCTACATCATTTGTGACATTTCTCTATTGACATATGACAAATGATCTGATCACCATTTTTTTGGCCTTACTTGGCATTCCTAATCCTATAAATATTTTGCTGGTGAAGATAAGTGTAAATAGCGAAAAATACGAAATAACTATGGTATGGAGGTATGATTTAACAATCGTATAGTTAGTCTAACATAGTAAAATCGAACATGGATTGCAATTACTCACGTCTTTCCCTATAATTGCTACACAAACAGCCATGACGTGAAGTCTACTCGAAAGAAGGTGCCTGACGTTACCATTGGAGCGGGAAATTCAAATATGTATCCAGACGAAAATCGTTCCATATCCAGCACCGAAAGGGCGTATGTCCGTTTTGAGAATAAAACGGGAAAGCCCGTTGAACTGATATGGTTGGATTTCAATGGAATTTATGTAAAATATAAAACATTAACTGATGGAGAATATTATGATGTGAATACATTCAAAACTCACCCTTGGATTGCACTGGATGCTGAAACTAAGGTTCGAATGCATATAGGGCAGTCACCTGTCTACTTTCCTAAAACTACTCGAGACTATTACAAAGAAAGATATCCAGATAAAGAAATCCCCCGGGACTTTGAGACTAGAAGAAGAGCATACATAACTCTACCAGTACATCGCCTTAAATATGCTGCTCTGTTAGCAGTAGGGAAGTTAATGAAGGATGGAAGAGAAGTTGAAAAATTGGGGTTACCTAAGGAGCTGACAGATCCACTGAAAAAATATGTGGTTCATAGGAACATTATAAAACATGCTATAGATCCTGGAAAAATACTTGTGTGAGCAAAGCTTTATGTTTAATTTCTTATTAATGGCAGTCTCATTGAATTGGTGGACTTTTAAATTCAGGCTGCACACAAAATGATGTGCTTTACTATAGTAATAATAATTTTGACTTCTGGCATTCACGAAAACTACATATTCTGTTGTGGCTTTTTATACTGATTTATACTTTCTAATGACTTCTATGTGGTACGTTGCATTTATTTTTCTGTACTTCATATGTCTTATTTAAGAAAGGCCAGTCAGTAAAAGTATTTTTATGAGTGTTGTAAATAGTTCTAAATACTGTCTTTAGGTTCCACCATATTAATTATTGCGAACATTACGAACTTAAGAATGTCACTTGCTGACTCAAAAGGTTTCAAAACATGATGATGTGTCCTAAAAAATAGTATAAATCATAGATGCAAATATCAAAAAAGTTTATGTATGCAGTATTTTCAACTGCCAAAACTTTTTATTAATGATATATTTATTTAGTCAAGATGCATTCAAAATGAAAAGAGTAAATAAATATGAATAGGTCCATTGATCATGTTGCAAAAGCATGTAAGGGTAAAATAAATTTTAAATAAAAATGTAAAAGATAAATTTCTTTTAATAAATGTTAAACTTTTAGAAAGTAGAAGCTTATAAAATTTTGGTACAAAGTTGAGATATGGTCATTGCATAATGGATTTGATTTGTTTAAGAACAACAGTTGCACATGATTTGTATCTTGTATTGTAATTATGCGGAAAATTTGCTGTGTTCCTTTGCATTTTTGTGATAGCAAGAGTGTAGTGTAGAGTGATACAGTGTACCTGAAAATTTAAGGGCATCCTTATAAAACAATAAACTTCCAAATTTTTGACAAGATCATTCTTTTAGCATTACCGATACCCATTGGAGTGAAGGAGTCCCAGATGTGCTTAGGTACCCCATGATGATAAACTGGACGCCTGACTAGATGATTGCCAAGAATTAACCAATTCTTCAAAAAAGCAACATGTTTTGTAATTTTATTTTCCTCCATGTCCCCTAGCAGAGGGGAACTCTACAATCTCTTTTTAATTTTTTACTAGATGTATCCTTCAGTATGATAAGTTTTTGATGTATATTTTATAGGGTTTTATACAAAAGAGAAACAAATATAATGTATGTTTAAAGAAAATATATTGTGTATTTTTTAAAGGATATTTACAACTGCAATAAATATTTTTTATATTAAACGTGTTTACATTAGCTCTGTATATGTATATGGTTATAAATGCTCTGAGAATACTTGATATAAATAAAGTATGTACATTTAACTACATGCACAAAAAAATATTAAATGGCAAAAAAGTGCTCTGGCTGTTAAAGCTAAAAAATGATTCTAATGACATATCACAATTTGTACCATCATTTTAATGTACTGTACAAAATGTTCATAGACCATATGTTATTTGGCAGTCATATGTTAAAACTAGTCAATATTGATTCTTAACACTTCTTTTTTTCCTCTTGTCAAATAGATTTCAAATAAAAAAAAATGGTTTTGGAAATTATTATTCACAGTTACCTAGATCTAGATAACATGCCAATTTACTTCCAATATTTGTTATGAATGGATTAAAAATATTTCGCATTCTGAAATCAAATCAATTTGTGGCTTTTAGTTTGTAGCAATTCTGTTTTTCTTTTTTTTTTGGAATTTCGATGGCACTTTATTTCCTTGCCTTACAATGACCAAGTGAGCCAAAGGAATCGACTTTGCATTTCACGAGTCTAACAACTATGGATTACCCTCAAAATGAAATGTCAAGACATGGCATCACACAATCATAACCTTCAAGAAATGCTGTTAGTTGCAACTAGGAATGTTTTATAAAATCGACTCAGATGATCTAGGAACTTTGGAATCCTTTGGGATTTTTCTTCTGCCAGTTCCACGTATCCCTGCACATTGCCTTGATATCCCTGGTGGCTGTCCAGTTGAGGTCCCTTTTTGCCAGACTAGCATCAGCATAACATTCGGCTATGTCTCCCTCTCTCCTAGAAGAGATTTCATAAGCGACTTTCTTTCCAGAGGCTTCTTCAAAGGCCTTCACCATTTCTAGCACTGAATAGCCACGGCCTGTCCCTGTAAGTTAAATAGGAATAATCAAGATTTACAGGTTTCTTCCCTGTTCTAAGTATCGACCATTTGGCAATGCTGCAGAACCACACCAGCCAAACATATAAGCGCCAGCCAAAGAAGTTCGGAGTATGTGTCGCCGTGGTGTAGTTTTAAAGGCAAATGTAGAGGCAAACCTTTGATGTGTGAAATGTGTACTGATCGATGCGTGAAATGACTGGGGTTGGAAGCGCATAAATATACTGCTGCGAAAAAATGAGATATACTCCCTACAACCGCTGACTGCCAAATTTCAAACCCTACAAAACGTTTCCCGAAAACGATCAGGAGCCTCTGAAACGTCAAAAAACAAGGTTTGAGCGATTTTTATTCATTTCATTTTTGGCTTTTTTATCTGACGTCACTGGACAGATTTTCAACAACTACAAACCCTTTGTGTCCTTGGCATAGTAGTAATATTGTGTAAAAATTTTATCGATACCCAAGCGGTACCCCCCAATTTTCGGAGGTTATAAGATTAGAAATTTCTGCTTATTTCGTGTTTTTGCCCTTTGCTCTGCCACCACTAAACCAGTTTTCAAAAATTTCAAAGCACTTTCTTGGCGTAGTAATATTCTTGGGTGAAAATTCCATTGGAATTGGGCGGTAATTTCCAAGTTAAAGATGGTCCAAGGATTTTGGGTTCAGGTTTTTCGCGATGTACATGTCATATAACATAGAAAAACCATAATTTCGAAACTTTCGCGATTACAATACTTCCTCGCCCAGCGGCGTAGAAAGTAACGGGTTGTCCAATAGGGACGCAGGAAAGTAAACGTCAATTTGACATAGACGCCATCTTTGTTTTCTGTCACCGACACGTCATTTTGTTAGTTGAATGTTTGCCATTGATCGCTATGGAGTCGTATTCGATTGAAGACCGCATTAAGGTTATTCAAGAGCACTACAAAAATGGTGCAAAAATAAAAAACACGTTTCGCGCGCTTCGTGAACATTTCGGTCGCAACAACCGCCCAAACGGAACAACCATCGGTCGTCTGGTGCGTAAATTCGAGGCAACAGGTTCTGTGGCAAATCTGCCAGGCTCTGGCCGGCCAAGGAGCGTTCGCACACCGGAAAATATTGCTGTTGTGAAGGAGTGTGAGAGACGATCCGAAACAATCAACAACGCGTCGATCCCAAGAATTGGGCATTTCGAGAACCAGTTTGCTCCGCATTCTCCACAAGGAGTTGAATGTACACGCCTACAAGATCCAATTGACGCAAGAGCTGCGTCGGGCCGACCATTTTTCGCGCCGAACGTTCTCAGATTGGCTCCTTGAACACAGCCAAATTGATGCCAATTTTTCATCAAAAATCATGTTCAGCGACGAAGCGCATTTTACGAGTACTTTGAATGGGACGGTAAACAAGCAAAACTGCCGCATCTGGGCGAACGAAAATCCCCGTGAGTATCAAGAGCAGCCGATGCATCCTCAAAAACTGTCTGTGTGGTATGCATTGTGGTCAAAAGGCATCATCGGACCTTACTTTTTCGAAAATGCCACCGGGGACGCGGTTACCGTCAATTCTGAGCGATATCACGTGATGATAGAGGACTTTTTGCCGCAACTTGAAGGAATGGATATGGACGATGTTTATTTCCACCAAGACGGTGCAACATGCCACACAACCAACGTCAATATCCATCGATTGCAGTCCTTCTTCGGCGATCGCGTGATTTCGCGCAGAGGAAATGTGCCATGGCCACCAAGATCGTGCGATTTGACTCCCTTGGACTTCTTTTTATGGGTATATTTGAAAAGCAAAGTCTACGTCAACAAACCAGCCACCCTCTAAGAACTCAAAAACATCATTGCCGAGATAAATGCCGTAGAACCGACCATGTTGCAAAATGTCATTGAAAATTTCGACCATCGCGTGGACGTCTGTAAATCCAGTCGTGGTGAACATTTGAGCGATATTATTTTTCATACATAAATGGTATAAATGAACCTTCAAAATAAAGTACCCAACTTGATTTTAATATCAATCTTTCTTGTTTTAATATGCGTTTACTTTCCTGCGTCCGTTTTGGACAACCCCATATAAAGTGTGCACTTACCTAAATTATAAGCTTTCCATGATTTGAAGCAAGGTGAATCGATCCTTTCCAATGCTTTCAGATGTCCAACGGCAAGATCCATGATATGAATATAGTCTCTGACGCCAGTGCCATCTGGCGTTGGGTAATCATTACCGAAAATTGTTAGTTTGTCTCTGCGACCCACTGCTACCTAGAAATACGATTGCTTTACAGAATTTACTTAAGCCCACACTTTCTTCAAACTGCGCAAACATGAATTGTTTTTTCCACCCCAATGCAATGAGGGGTGTTATAAGTTTAATAATAGGGCATTGTATATTCCTCACGGATGAATTTAATTTGACTGCTTCTTTAATGTGTCTGAGTAGACATTTTATGCTGCTGCACTAGTAACACGATACTTCTAGATTATTCTGAAATTGCATTTGGAAACATTGAAAACATATATGTAAGTGATCAGTTCAATACCTAGCAACGACAAGTTTCTGTTTGTTTTCTTTTGTTTAAATTTAACTTTGACGATATATTTTCGAGGGAATTGCTTCAAATAGAAGTTGGAGGATTTTTCCTGAACTATCGGTCGGTGACCTTGGATTCGACTTTGATTTTGACCTTGAAGGTTAACTTAAAAATTTCAAACGTAAACCTTAATTTTGATCCCGGTAATGGAACGAGCAGAACGTTTTCCGTTCAAACATGACCTTGAATGACTGTTTGGGAATACATTTTAGCGGGAAATGCTTTAAACAAAAGTTGTAGGATTTTTCCTCAGCAAACCAAAAGGTGACCTTGGATTCGATTTTGACCTTCAGAATTTTGAATAAAAACCCCTATTTTTGACCCCGACAACGAAACCAGCGAAAAATTAGACGTTCTCGTATGACCTTGAATCACTAGAGGCGATTAAAAATAATTATTCGTGAATCATATAGACCTATCAAGTGTAGAATTAGAGAACATAAAACTTTGTAAATTATGATCCATCAAGGTCATACTATCACTATTGTGGGATAACTCAAGGTCAAACTTAAGGGTCATTCAGTGTCATTTCGGAACGTACAAATTTCCGTTTGTTTCATTATCGGAATCAAAGGTTTGCATTTGAAATTTTAAAGTTGACCATCAAATAACCTTCAAGGTCAAATCAAAATCCTGCAACTTTTATTAGAAGCATTTCCTCTTGAAATGTATTCGTAAAGCGTTATCGAGCCGTTTTGGTACTTTTACCACACCCTGTATAATGTTTAGCTTATTACCTGAGAGATGTATGGCATAAGATTATTTGGTATACCAGCTGGATCTTCTCCAATTGTCCCTGATTCGTGGGCGCCTACAGGATTGAAATATCTTAGCAGAATCACCCTCCATTCCTGTAAGCATTCGAAATGATTAAAAACTGTTACAGAACAAAACCGGACATTCGCTGATGGGGAGGTGACCGTCTGCTTTTATGCACTGGTAAAATATCTTCTACCATTTATTAAGTTGTACATTGCCTAGTACAACGTCAACCTACTTTACGGCACTGTTACCGTACCGTTCTTGCTATCCTGTAATAATTAATCCTCTGACCATATATCTATAGAAATTCGTATCTAAACAGAAACTTGACAAACCAGTCAAAAATGGAACTCGACGACACACTCGTCCATTTTTTGTTAAGATTATTGAAGTAATTTTAATAATTCAATAAAAATCTAAATTCTAGGAATCATTTCAGCGACCATTATATTTAAACAATTGTGTGATCATTTTTATCAGCAAACAAAACATCTCTTAATCAAATATTACATATCATACTTTCGCCAAAATGCGGTTGTCACAAGTGATACTCGTGGTGAAAAGATGATTTCTAGGAATACAACATTCAGGATATTATTGAAACAAAATATGGTAATTCAGTGCCAGCTGTTACAGATAATACGAACGTACGCAAATAACCTGGATACTATTGTAACTTGATTTTTAACCGTATCATTACTGTTACAGTTTTAACTCATGTCAAAAAAATGGTGTGAAAGCCACATGCACTGATTCCATATTCCATTCAAGTACGTATCATATCGAAGCACAACTAGTCTCTGTGTATTTAAAGTACTTTTGACATTTTTCGACCTTTAAACTTGTTAGTAGTTACTAATTAATGAATAAACAAGGCTTATGAAGAAAATTAGAAATTTCCTTGTATGTTAGACGAACATGGTGTTGTTTGAAATGTGTCAATGATTGTCTACAATTAAGTTCAATGGGTTGACGATATCATTTGAGCCTTATACGTTTAAGTGATTCAGGATGATTAAGACAAAGCAGAGTGTTTAAAAAACCTCACAGGAATTTAATCAGCGACTCTATTCAGCAAAATTAACCTTCTAGTCTTGTATTTAAACTTAAAAGAAACCAAGATCAGGTATCCATTTATGATATCAGTACTTATGAATTGTTTTAAAATACAACAGAAATATTATACAACTTTCCTACTGCAGATTCTGAATACTTTCACGAATTCTGGAATTTATATAAAAACTACGGTTGTAACTTCGCGTCACAATGAATTCTAAAATTACAGAAATTCCTATGATTGTTGTTGTTGTAGTCATGCAGTATCACATCCGAAAATCGTAAACCGAATTATTCGTACATGCGATATTTACATTCGTTTAGAGGTCAACTGGCAGAAGCAAACCATTAACATTTTCTATCGACGCCGTGCTGTCGAATCTTCAATAAAATAAAAAATTCACATTTTGTAACGCTCGCTAATGACTATTATGTAATCACCGTGAATACCAAAAGGTTAATCATATTGATCTTAGCACATTAGATTTGGCTATGGCATATTGAAACATTAGGCCTCACAATTGATACTCAAAATTTGTTGCGAATATTAAAGAAAATCTGTCCAAGCCTAAAAATGGGTCATGCTCCTCATTTTCGATATTTTGGTAGATTTGTGAAATCAAGATGGGGAAGCTTTAAAACTTTTAAGAATCAATGTAACGATAGCAGATAATTTTTATAAAGCATTTGAGGGGTTACAATGAAGGAGTTTCGACTCAAGCTTTTGGCTCATTTGTTGAAATGCGGTAGGTATATGTTTTGGAAGGGTGTAGAAAAAAAAAGGGGCATGAGCAGTGACTATCTACTTTCTAATTGTAGTTTCAATAGATTACACCCAACAATGACTATTATAATATTTCGCCTATGCAAAAGGGTGCTAGTTGCAGGAAGTAAAAATGATGTCAAGTAGGTTGACTTCACTACTCACGCAATGCTGCCAATCAGTTCATAAAATATTATGTTCACCACTTAGAAAAAGCATAACAAATGCATTAGGCAGATCAAGTTTGTCAAATAGGCCCATACAATAAGTAGTACCTAGTCCCTCAGCCTATATGAGAATTTCTTTCTGTCCTCCCAACCATGCGACAATGCATAAATCTTGTGAGCGGCCAGTCTACGAAAGGTTTATCTTCTATTTTCGTAGCGATCCATGTGGGTATTTAAAATATTTGAGGGCAAATTTATGGAAAAATCTATGTGTGAAATACGTCTAATAGGTGCGAAGAATTATTAGAGTGAGAAGCGCATTCATATAATATCGGTAAAAAATGCGATATATCTTTCCTCACCTCCTACAATCCTGCACCACTATTTTTTTACCCCTCAAAAAACATTTTTCCAAAACGAGCAGGGCCCTCGAAAACGTCAAAAAACGTAGTTTGAATATGTTTCTGTTTTTTAACCATAACTTTGCCCCCGGCCGCCAGTGGATCGATTTTTAAAACCCACAAAGCCTTTTCCTACTTGGCGTAGCAGTAACCTAGTTCCAAATTTTCATTAAAATCCGAGTGGTACCTTCCGAGTAATAGAGTGGTTAAGGACTGACGAAAATGAATGACATGCTTTTGCATAATGTACATGTCATGTAACACAGCCAGTGATACCCCCTGGAGACAACAGCACATTTTTGCAGGTTGTAGTAAAGCGGAGTGCTAATTTTGGCTCCTAGTTGGCCATCTGCTTATCCTTCTGAGTTAGTGGCAGTGATCTGAGGTGAATCCGTAAATGATGAGTCATCATATCGATACAGGGACATTAAAGGAATCAGACTTACATGGTCTGAAGTGCAGACGTCCTTGAGAACCTCTTCAACAAAATATTTAGACTTTCCATAGGGATTAGTGCATCCCTGACCTGTTGGATGTTGTTCAGTGATTGGCAAGAACTGTGGGTCCCCATAGACAGTTGCTGATGACGAAAATACTAATTTCTTCACACCATTCTTTGCCATCACCTATAAGAGACAGTCTCACTGAATTTACCACCATAAAACAAATTCAAAATTAACATACTTAGGTATTCTCTTAAAATAAGTTGCATTGTATGTCACTTGTTCTTGATATATCAGATTTTAATATATGAATTAGGTCAAAAAGAATAAATAAGCAATATTTGTCATTTATCAAAGTTATAGTCATTTCCAACCTGATGAAAAAGTGTAATTTATTAGATTTAGTTTTCCAAATAACTTTTCTCCTAATGATTACTCAAGAAGTTACATCATTTATATTACATATAATGTGGTTTAATAGCATATGTCATCTTTAGGAAATAATAAGAATACACAGAATATGGATAAATGTTCATATTTAGTTATGACATGGACGTTAAATATAGATATTCAATTAGAACAAAAAGTGTATGATTATAAAAATACAAGTACAGTTTAAGAAGATCGCTATTTTTGGCATACCTAACTAGCCTAAAAATTGCTTTAAAATAAAGTAATTTCAAAATACTTTTCGGGGTCTTGCAAAGCATGGTTTAAACTTGGCGACCTAAAAAAATATAATTTTAATTTTTGACCGAGTTTTTAAGCATTGAATATATCAACTTTTAGGCCTTTTCATAAATTAAATTGTTTATAATTCCGAAATAGTCGGCATTATTGAAAGCTTAATGGTAGCCTTTTTTTCGGAATGATCCAAAAAGCCTCCGGACAAAAAAATTATTTATTTAAAAAATTGTTTAAACGAATTTGATCTTGGTTACCGTGCGGGTATATTAAATGCTGAAAACACGATTAAAAACTATATTTTTGAGGTCACCAAGTATCTAAATTTAAAACATTGCTCTGCAAGACCTTGACTACTATTTTATTAATTTATTTTGAAGGGATGTTTACCTTGTTTTTCAAACCAAAATCGGCGCACTTTTGGTTTCACAGACTGTATTTTAGATCTACTTTCTACAATATATGAAAGAGAACTAAAACAGCATTCATTCTTCGATGATTGAATAAAATAGAATACAAAAATTTAAATTGATATTTGTGCTGGTAACAGTATTTGTAAAAGTTAACTTACCTCGAATAAAGCACTAGATCCCCCAACATTGTTTTGATAATAATCTAGGGGCTTTTGGACAGATTCGCCAACTGCCTTCAAGGCAGCAAAGTGTATCACAGAATCAATTTTATGCTGAAAATTGTTAGTAAAATTATACTGTGTAGAAAATGAGTATTTTGTCAAAAGTAGTGATATACATAATGAGGAAGTTTCCTATTTCTTGAAGCAGACTTAAAATGATAAGCTAAGTGAAGTGAAGTACAGCACTGAAAATATTTTCTGAATATTTTAAAAAATGTCAAAGTTACGCTACCCAGAAGTTTCTTAATTGGAGAATTATATTGCTGACGTCACATGATACCAGATACTATCGCTAGGCTACCACAAAGCGCCATTTACAAAAATAGGAGGCCTTGATACCAGCTTGACGTTTCTTGGGAGATAGTTTGTCAAAGTTATGCGGAATACGGTATACGGTTGTTATCGTTACTGCTACCATTTTTTTTGCAAATGTCAAGTCAAAAGTTTCTTTTTTCCATTTGTGAAATGAAATTTCGCTATGATAAGTACGCCGATATTATTTATGTGTACGGGTTCTGTAAGGGCTTCTCGGAAGTATCAACGTAGATTTCCTAACAGACGCCAACCTACCAAAGGTTCATTTCTAAGACTTCGGCAATATGGAATTGCCAAACTTCCCTGAGTTAGAGGTACTGGAAGTGATTAATTTGGCGTTGGGTGATCCTAGTACAAGCACTAGGCGGATTGCAGCACAGTTACCATGTTCCCAAAGTCTTGCGTGGAGAATTTTAAATCGAAGTGCAACGGCGAAGTTTTTGTGAATGGTTACTGTAAATGCATAATCAAAATGCAGATTTTATTGATTTGGTTTTGTGGTCAGATGAATCGCTTTTTGCGAGGAGTGAAACTTTTAATTCTCATAATGAACATATTTGGTCGTTGGAAAATACTCGTAGATATTGCGTTTCATCAAATTCAAGCCACAACAAATTTTGCGGAAATACGTATTTCTTCATTAAAAAGATGCCGCACTTGTACCCGTTAGAATGGTGGTCTTTTTTAACATTTCTTGAAATAAAGCTTTGATTACCTAATTTGTTTTATCATTTTTACGAAAACATTGCACTCTAGGAAAAAACACAAGAGTAATTATTTGTAGCAAATTGAAGGTACAATTCAAAAAACTGTGCATTTAAAAAAATGATAATGGCGTACTATTTTTATTTGGAAAAATAATGCAACTAATCCCCTGTATCTCCGCCACTGGTGCACGTTAATTTTAAGCAAATACTTTTTAATGTGGACAATACTTAGGTAAATCCACATACCAAATTTTAGTTCATTCCAGTTGACGGTTTTGAATCACCCTGTATATCTTAATGCTTGTCCAACATACTTTTTCACATAGTATATATTTAAGCATTATTATGTCCACCTTTGGAAGATTTGCGAAATCGGTATGCAGCAAGTTTTCTTCCGCACAGCAGTCTATGCCAAGATACAAACAATATATTCCGCTCAAGATGAATGCAATACGCAGAGGCCGTCGCGCCATCCGGCCCCGTCAGTGCCGTGGCCCAGAAGCCAAACTTATGTCAGGTGACGTCACGACCGAAACACGACGCGCGAGGGTGGTGGGCTGTAGCACTCAACACAGAAAATGTCACAACTTCCTTAAATTTTAAATTAACAGAATAATTATTTTAGATTTGTAAAAGATACCAGTTGCTGTATTATAGGTGAAGTAAACTACTACCATTTTTGACCATAGGAAACTTCCTAAATAGCAAACTTGATCCTCGCAGCATACATTGTTAGAAAGATGTTCGTCTCGGTGGGAGTGGGGAGATCAGCGATTAAGAACTGAAGAGTGGGAGGGCTGCATGCTTCAGCACTTTAGCACCACTTCAGAGAGCAAATGCCCTTATGACAATTGAAGAGTAGGGTGTGGGATACGTATAGTGGGGGGTGTAAATATCACAGTTCATGTGCAACGTAATTCTTATGCCAAGACAGCAATATATACTATTTTCTTGAATAAATGGCAGAGCATTTAAATCTGCCACTGTCTTGGGAACTTAAATAAAACAACCCAAACGTTGAAACACTTTTAGAACCTTGTAACTAATAATATATTCACTAATATTCTTTTAAATTTTCTTTAGCTATGATTATGATATGTATCAATTTTAACTGAAGGCCAATATTTAGATTTAGAAAGTCTGCAAAAATATATCAATTTTTGAATAAATAGACGTATTATCTATATATTATATTATCTGATTAATATTTTAGATAGCATCACCTTATTTTAGCTCATGTGTGTGAGATAACAATATTTTAGTATGTTAGCTACATTGAGAAAAATCAATCAAGAACAACATGATTTATATTCTATACTGTTCATAGAGGAACAAATACATGTTTTTAAATGTTCCTATGTAAAATCTGTATATGATTTTAAGAAGATGATCACTTCAAATAGCCTCTTTCTTTTGAACAGTATGTTATCAAGCTGATGTGAATATAACATTTATATTTTTTATTTTATATAAAATAGTTCACTCTATAAGAAGATTATTTATATTTCTGCCAGAACATTATTTGGACTATGAATGTACATTTACATATTTTTTTTTGTACTCAGAGTTGCAAATTCTCACTTCACCATATGAATATGCAATTCATGGTAACTTTTATTCATGCACGTATTTGAATATTCTCTTATCTCTATGAACTGATAGAAAAATGGTTTAACCATTTCAAAAAAATATTACTTGGATATAAACATACAGCTTTGAAAATCTTGTCTATAGCATCCTTATCCTTGATATCAGCTTTATAATAAATAACCTGCTCCCCAGTGATTGCTTCCACCCTTTTTAGTGACTCTGGTTTATCACATCCTGTTGCATAGCTGTTAACATTATTATCAATAGCGATCACTGTGTAGTTATTTTTTAGTAGCTCAACTACTGTGTGAGATCCTACATAGCCTGCGCCCCCAGTCACCAATATTGTGCTGTTACCCTTCATTTTCTCAACTGTCACCCACCACCTAAAATTTAACAGAGCAAAAGTTAACAAAGCGCAACAGAATAACAGTTTTTTAATTCATGTGTTACTGGATTTACTTAGTGTGTTACATCTATGCTTGCATGAAAAGTAATTTTTTTAAGAAACGTTTAAATGTAATAATGACAATTGATGATTTGGTAATATTTTTATTTATGGCAAAACTGTTACTCTATGGAACAATGAATTTACACACATATAAATATTGAATTGCGAAAAATTAAATACCTATATTTTGAATGATAAATATTAATTGTTTGATAACAATTCCCATTGAACATGAACTAGTTTTTTAAAACTTACCTCGTTTTACTTACTTCGTAAGATACCCCAAGGGAATGATGGCATAATAAAAGAGTACGAAAACGTAACTCGATTTATATAGTAAATTGAGCATTGTGTTATCGGTTAGATTAGATTAATTAAACAATAAAAGATAAGATTTACACGTAGACGTACACACTTCAAATTCAGCACATTTTTCAAGTACGATATGACAGATGACGACAGTAGTTCAAACCACAAACACTACAAATGAGAAAATACATAAACACCTTTTGTCATTTGTAAAGTCGACACCAAATAGAGTTGGCAAAAAATTCGATAGTTCCCTTGTGCACGTGCATATATTTTGTGTTGAGCACTGCCACTATTACTCTATTCAGTGTATATGTTTTGTGGCCACTACTTGCTTGCGTTTGTGTTCTGTGTCATCCAAACAACTCAAATTGCTAACCTAAAAAAGTTTTTGAAAGGTGAAAACCCGTGAAAGTCAAGTTTTTCCAAATGGAAATGGACGAAACCTTTGAAACCTCAAGTAAACCAGCAAGAGAACCTCCACATTTCGGAAATGAAATTGAGGATGGTATGAATCGTAGGACAATCAAATGTCAACACTGCCAGTCACTAATTTTAACACCTGGTTCTGCAGACTATTTTGAGCGTGATGTAAGTTTTCTGTTGTCTACGATATACTCAAATACAAAGTCTTTCAGTTTCAGTTGCCCTTGATGAAACAGAAAAAGACTAAAGAAGCAGATCCAGAGACTGAAAGTGTATCATCATTTTGGGTGGTTAAGGACATGTTTACATTCCAAAATGTAGGATTTTCTAACACTGTTGGTACCACAAAATACTTATCTTGTGCAGACTGTGAGGCAGGACCCATAGGTTACCATGACTTGAACAGTAGAATCAGTTATGTTGCTCTTGATCGAGTTTCACATACAAATTAACATAAGTACTGTAATTTTAAGGAAATAATGTATTACCACTAAGCTGATGATATCTGAAATGTATTTTTATACTTTTTATCAAACATGGCATATATTTGTTTTTTGAGGATACTATATCTTAAGCTTGCTGCAAAAACAAGGCAACACCATTTTTCTATTCTGTTTTCAGTTGAAAACTTTTTCACAGTTATACCTGTTGCTGACAAAATTGTTCAGTTTATGGTTTCTTATACTCCGATATTTGTATTTGAATACAACTTTTACGCTAATATAACCCTCACTTTCTTACCTGATTTATAAAATCTTGTCAAGCAGGTAAATGCCAATTACTACAAACTTTGTTTTGAGAGTTGTTATCTGGTTTTTGCAGTAACTTAACAATATGGTAATATTTATTAAAATAGTATCTTGTGACAAAAAACATCCTAATTGTAACACCATTTTATTTAATATATATATATAATGTATATATAAAACAATTCAAAGTTTTATTTTCTTGCTGTCAAATTGTGGTTTTTGACTGCTTTTCCTTTTCTTTTTAACCTTCTCACTTATGTGTGTCTTGACCTCATCTTGTAATTGTGTGAAGAATGCCTTAGAAGATCTTATGGCTTTCGGATTCAGTTTTTCATCCATCTGTAAAAATATAAACAAATAAATTTACAATTTGAAATTCATAGTTTTTTAGTATTCATTTGTAACTTTACATACCTTTTCTACATTCCTTGCTTTCATGACCTTTTTCAAATTACTTCTCTTTTTCTCCAACTTTTGCACATTTGGTGATTTGTTTTTAGCAATTTGCTTCAAATGTTCCTTTTGCTTCTTTTTCTTTTTTCTTCTCTCCCTATTTTTGTCTGTTGAAGTTCTCTCTGATTTACCTAGAACAAAACACAATGTTTAAGCATCATTGTGAAAGTGAAATGTAGGTAGTCTTCATCTTTAGCAGACTGCAAATAAAGATTGAAAAATGATTAGAAAGGTTAACTCATACAAACCTGTCATAAATAAAAAACATTTAACAGATTATATTCTTGAGAAATTTTTTGTTTCTTACCAATCAGATCACCCTTAGATTTGTTCCTGATCTCCTCAGGTGCCAAAAGAGTAGCTTCACTAGCTGTAACAGGTGCTACTTCTTCCATACTAATAGCAGGCAGATGGCTAACAATCTTAAGCTCAGGTTTAGCTGGCTTGGGTGTAAAATGGAAGTTGGACAAGGCATCTAGCTTGCTAAATAATTCTTTCATAGCAGCCTTCACTTGCTTGTGAATCGCTGGCTCCTCCTCTTCCTTATCTTCAGCATTGGGATCCAAAGCTGCTTGTTGGTTTAGATATTCTTTCTCATAGATTTGGGCCAAGGAATGCTTGCTTTTTTCTTGGTCCAGGAGTACTTTTTTCCTCAGTTCCAATGGGGTTTCAACAAGTTTCACTTTCCTCTCAACATCATCAAATGCCTTATCTTTTATTCTTTGCTTTATTATGTCTTCTAGCTGGACTGTCGTTTTCTCAGTTATTACAGGAGCTACAACAGAAAAAAATGGTGTATATAACATATTGGTATGTGATGCTATTAAATAAGAGAATTTTACCTGGTCTAGATATTAAATCAAACTCAACAACTTCTTCCAAAAGTGAATTTTGTGGCCTATCATCAGCTTTAACTTCTCCCTTTAGAGGCCAATATTTTTCCCCAACAGCTGATTGCTCAATCTCTTCAATCTTCCTATTTAGTCTCTCTTCCCTTTGTTCTAAAGTTGACTTTCTTTGTTCATCTTCCAGGTCATCATCATCCATATCATCTAAGAATTTATTTTTCTTTATTTCCTTAGTACCATTGTCTTTTGCCACAAAGAAATCTTTAAACTTTGCTTGTTTTACTTTTTCTTCATCTTCATCATCATCCTTAAAGAAATCAATACTGCCTTCTTCAGATTCTGATCCATCTGTATCATTGCCAGAATCTGGTTCAAGATTCTTTTCTGCATTTCTTACAAACTTTTCCATTTCTTCTAGATCCAAAAAGCCATCTTCAACAGAGGACTTCTTTTTTGGTTTTTTCAATTCAATCTCATCAATATCACTATGGTTATCATCAGAATTGTTAACTTCTTCCTCATCACCTGATTCATCATTTTCAGAAACAAGCAATTCTTCATTAGTGCCATCCATATCTTTATCTGAATCTTCTTTTGTATTATCTTCATCGTCAATTTTGTCTTTAACATCAAGGTTTGGGAATACCAAGCTTTCCTTATTAACCAGCAACTTGCTGATTGGTTTCAAGACACGCATGAGAACAGTATCATTCTGTAATTCTATTTGTTGCCAAATTTGTTCCAAATCAAAGTTTTTAACCAAGAGCTCTGGCAAAGCTTTTGAGTGTGTAACTTTGATCTCTTGTGATTTCGAAAAATCATATGTCTCTTTTAGGTTTAACTTTATCGTAGTTTGAAGCGAAACATCAGGGCTGAAATATGATGAAGTTAAGAAATAAATGAGTGATTAAAAGTTATGGGTTAACTTACTTTACAAATACATCAGGCTTGACTGTTAACTTCTTAAAGTCATCTAGGAAGAAGTCGAGTTTCGAATTTTGTTCACACATTTTGTTTATAACAAGAAAAATTCGATTACCTATAATGGAACAATCAATATCTATTTTTTCATTTTACAGCAGTTTTCTATTTTTTATTAAGCTCGTAGTCAAAACAAATCAAAAACTCAACAATGTGAGGTTAACACACGTCAAATGTCAAGTACACGTGCTCAAACTCTTAAGGATGGTGGTGGACCTACTCGATAGTTCGATATCGTGGACGGTCGTAGTTGGCGTTAGAACAGCTCTGGTTCAATTATTATTTTTATTTTTCTTCTAAGTGCAATTAAACATTTCAATTATTTATGCAAAATATACTTTCGTATTATCAGCTAACAGAAGGCACTAATGTTATTATTGCGCCATACTGGTTGCATAACGCTCAGCATGTATCCATGGCAAACCGCTATCTGATTTTGAATGTGTTTTTAAACTGTCGACTCAAAATCCTATCATCCTTGATGATTATATTTGTTGTAATCACAAACTCAAATGCATAAATATGGATTTGATCTTGATCATTCTAGTTTGTATGTTTACGAAGTTATAAAGTGGTAGTCTCGGTCTCGGGAGTGTTAGTGCGTTTAACCAAAGTAACTATTTCCGATGCTATTATAGACTATAATGTCAGTCCAAACTTAGCCATTGAGGGTGAGTTTTTTATCTCCGTATATCCCTGATCTTTCGCGAAATTTATTTTATATCATGGTCGTCTTGGCAGTTCTAATAAATATTTTGTCTCGTCAAACTAACATTGATACAAATGGATCGTCCGTGGTGCCTGCATAAGATCCCATGCTTGATCCCATGTTTGCGATTTATATTTAGTGAATCCTTTACTTATCTTTCATAAAAATAAAAAGGCATCAGGTAGGTTGACTCTGCACTTCCCAAGCTTTTTATCAAAATCAGACCGACATTTAGATACAGACGGGCCAAGGACTAGCGCATAGACAGACAGACGGAAATGAGTGACATGGTTTTTCGTGATGTACATGGCATATAACATCCAGAAATCATATATCATTTCTCGCCGTGTGGCGTAGGAAGTAAAAAGAAAGTTTCCCACCGCGTCTGTCTGAAACTCCGATTTCCATACGGTTTTAACTAATGGACGCAGTGATTTTATGAGGAAGGCTAGGTGTAAATTGGTTGAAGTATGACGACAATTATTGTAAATTTGTATCTACAATATTGTTGATACATACAGTACGGACTGCAAGCAACACGTCATAGCTTTTCGATCGGCTATATAAACGATGGCGAACGCGTCTTGAAGTGCAAAAACAGGAACGAAAGTTGACCGGTCAACTGAAATGATTTATAAAAGTAGGAAAAAGGGAAAGTCATCTTGAGAAACTTTTTGTCACAATCCATATATCGTAACACTTCGCATCCATGTACTAATGTTCCTTAGATCGTAGAGTTTAAAATAAGGTTGACGACCCTGGTTATATACGCGCACAGCGTTGTTGTGTAACAATCAAAATATTCTTCATGCACTGTCATAAACTGACAAAAAGAAATATACTACGTGGAAGAAGAGATTGGCTTGTCACTCTGAATTCCTGCATGAAGATTGCTGTCATCAGCGAAGCTGTGGATTGGGTTGATCGTATAGGAAAGGAGGTCGTTGATAAGAGGAACAGTGTCGGAGTCAAGACCGTTCCCTCGGGAACACCCGTGTTGAAGTTGTGGGATGAATAGGAGAACCTGACGGATATCTTGCGGTCAGAATGAAAGTGAGCCACCCATCTGCAGTGCTTTTCTGGGAGGCTATAGGATGGAAGTTTGCATAAGAGGGCAGCGTGTCACAGCTGATCGAACGCTTTCGGGATATCAAGAGCAACGACATGAGCCTCACCATAAGAATGGATGAGCTTACTGAATTTACACAATTGCGTGACGTAAGCTAGGAGGTCCCGTGTGGATCGCTGATGCCGGAAACCATACTGTATGTTGCTAATCAAGCGGTGACGTTCGAGGTAGTCAAGGAGCTCGCGATTTATACACCTCTCCATCACCTTACTTATAACAGAAAGCAGAGCTATAGGCCTGTAGTTATAAGGGTCGGTCTTAGATCCTTTTTTTGAGATGGGTTGGACATGAGCAAATTTCCAGTTTTCTGGAAAGGTGTCGGATTTATAAGATATCTGGAAGAGACGTGAAAGAACTGGAGCAAGCTCCGCTGTACACCTCTTCAGTACAATGGAAGGAATCAAGTCCGGACCAGAAGCTTTGTTGATGTCAAGCAACAAGAGCACCAGTCTTAAGGTCATATGCCGCATAGTGTAGGGAACCCTGGACTTCATCTTCCTAGTATCTGTTACAGATTCTAAGATCCTTTTTGCAGTAACTTTTTGTTGGAATAAATAAATAGGCACGTTTTTGTATACTTATATTTTATTTCAAAAGGCATACATTCTGTTCCTAAAGCTAATGGAATTATTTATACATTTCATATAAAAAATATGTACAATTTCATCAAAAATATCATGTATTCTCTACTAAATATGCGGAGTATATATTACAAAAAAATAAATTATTTTCGAGGGAACATTGTTTTCTAGGATTATAGATATCGCGGAAAAAATATTTGAATGATATATAGCACCCATTTATGCACAGGACTCGAGTCGAGCGACAGTGTCACTCAACAATGTCCGACAATGAAGTCATAGAGGGACACCCGTTAGTTGATCATTGTTGAGTGACATGAATGAGCGCTAACAATAAAGCGCGAAGAAAGTGATCACCTTAGATTACATATTTTTGTGTTTTACTTAAAGAGTAAATCAGAAATCACGGATTTTATATGTCTTCATCATTTGCATATCATGATGAACATTCCAATTTTTTTAAGGACTAAAACAATGAAATTATTTGATAGGAATATATGTTTTTTAATACTGCAGTCGAATCTTCATTTAACTGATGAAACTCCTGTAAGTTATCCTGTGGTTTTCATGTTCATAGGTCTCCATTTATATGTTTTAATTTATATTTATTGTACGACTTTTCGGCCACCACTGTGGCATTGTGAATTGTGTGACAATTGTACTGGGAAAAGGCCACAGTGGTAGTCGAATCCTCGTACAATAAACAGGAATTTAAATATATATGTGGTTCGGCGCGACAATGGGGTCCTACTAATTTTATTGCTTGTATCATGATAATCTGTGTTCAAAATTAGCAGGAACATTCTTCTTTCACATATATTAATAAATATTTGTTATTTTGACAGGAGCTTCAATTTATATGGGAGTGAGTTGAGAAAATTACGTGATGATCATTTCAGGAAAATGTTTAGTACCTTTAAGTTGAGGCAGTGTCACTATGGCAGAACATCTTAATTAACTAATAACTATTTGGTAACTATTTATTCTGCTTCTTTCCTAAGTATTCATTATACTTTTTACACTTTTTTCAGTATAAACTTTGAGGATAGAATCGGTAACTATACTGGCAGTTTTTTTCAACATTTTAAGAGGGTTCTTTCTGATGTTGGATTCGCTTTCATACCTAACTCTAGCTATACAGGGTGTTTCCTAAATCTGGATCAAAAGTTCAAAGGGATTTGGACTATCTCGAGGCAACGTTCTTTGATGATTTTTAGAAAACCTATCCGTTTCGAAGGTACAGAGCTAACAAATTTCTGAAAAACTGTTCAAAATAACTAAGTGTTCTTAGCTAGAAAATTCTGTCTGAAGAGATTTTGAACAGTTTTTTTGAATTTCAAAACTGTCATTTTCAAAAGTTCGCCCTATACAACAAAATAATCTTAAAGTAGACTAGGTATGTACCGAGTATTAATTAATGCACCATTAAAAAGGTAGCCATGATTACAGCGTATTCTTATTGTAATTAGGGAACTTATTTGGATTAAGATTAGTAAACGTCTACCGTCTTTTCCAGTCCAGCATTTGCGTAACTTCTTATGAACAAGGTGTTACTACTACAAATACAAGTCCATGGAACAGCTATCATGTGCTAGTGAATTTTTTTGTTACATACGGATAATTTAGGTTAAGTTCTTCTCAAATCTGATTTACTCCTGCCAGTAGTTTTAATGTGTGTTTTTTTTGTAACATCCTGCCAAAAACATCCCAGATACCTTAGGGTATGACGGCCATGAGATGACAGCGGTTTTTCTAAATTTAAGTAGCCTGCGGCGTTGCCGTTCAACAAAAATGTAATAAAAAGGATTGAAAAGTAAATCAAAAACAAATTTTCCAAAAATGTAATGTCAAAATGTGGTTTCAACATTAATTTAATATTGAGGCTACCGAATTCCACATTGAACATATACCTAGCTGTTGAAAGACTATTGAATATCAAAAAAAAATATCTGAAAATATCGATAATACGACGCTTCATACACAAAAAATTGTTTGTGGTGCGTTAATTCCTTGAAGTAAATCAATTTTGAGAATAAGCGATCTTTCAAAAACGCAAATATTATCTTAATATCATGAGCCTCTACCTTTATTATTTTATTTCCGACACCTTTGAAACATCCTATAATATTTTGAATACTATTATACCAACTTTGAACGGTGAGTAGCTGGTGTATTCAATTGTATTGTATAGTTACCAATTTTGCTACCTCAAAAGCTATAACCGTATACACAATTATCAACTAGTCATTCAACTAAAATTCTCGGATAATCAGTATGTGGCTAGCTTGGACGTTTCTTGGCGACTTCTCTTTAGCCAGATGTAGGCAGTGAGTACGCAACTTGCAGTGAGTAGAGATACGAGGAGAGATGATCCGAATACGAAGCTGTGGGTTGACATGCAAACCGATGTAATCTGTAATATGAAAGAAACTTTTACAGTACCATTCTGATTCTTATAGCTAGAGGTTGGGAATGTGTTCTTACTATGAGCTACGCCACTTCGGACCACTTTAGAAATGCCAGATTATTATTTTTTTATTATCCTTAGATATTTAACAATAAATAAAAAAGTATAAGACAAACAAGAGAAAAAATAACAGCTATACACAAACAAATTCTGAGACGGCATAGTATCTTTTAAGTACAAGGAATTAGTTCAACTTCGCTTTAAACTGATTGCTATTGGAGCATTGCATTAACCTGAATGGTTTCATAAAACATAATAATTAAAAAAACATCTTTATTATTAAAAATATACACAGACAATCCATATAAAAACAGTGAGGGAACAGTTAACATTTTTAGTCTTCTAAAAATATCTTTACACGAATGTAAACTGTCAACTTCAACCAAACAAAAAATTGCTCTTTTTTGACTCAAAAATACTCGTACCTGCTGAGTGATAGGTGTATTGTAGATAGCAACTGGCTGACTCTCCGAAAGAACTGTTTTTAAATTTCGGATTGCATATGTTTGGAAGTTGACTGCCTGAGATGAAGGCAGTGGCGACGCGTGACTTTTCCAAAACTGTTACCAAAACCAGATGTGAAAAGTCTTATTAAAAAAAAATTATTTTGAACCTCCCAAATATAAGTTTTTGCTTATTTTAGGTATTTTATTTAAACTATTTTTAAATTAAGGTAAACATTCCTGGACTGAGCGTCTGGGGCACTTGATATACCTCATCGTCTTATTCTATGACTAATCCAAGCCGTCCGAAAAAACAGTCGACGTTTCTAGATGTTCGGAAAATTTTTGATCTTTTTTGCCAATGAATCTTAACAATTCCCTGTAATTTCCTCTATTGTCAGAGTCATCCCCTTCAAAATGAACGGTAATTCCTGTTTTGCCAAAAAACATACGATATCTAGAAGTGTGGTGCCTAAAAGCTTGGTTAAGACAACTTTCGATTCTTGTTTTGCCAAACTGAATTAAATTGGCTACACATCTCACATGTAACGGAGAAATTTCATGTCTCCTCTTTAGAGCCCTAAAACTATTTAAATCGTTGACTCCGCTGCATTTTATTCTGTATACAACAGAAGACATCGCCAACAATACAATTTGTTTTGTTACAACCACATAAACAAGAGTTTCCATATACCAACTTATTTAAAATATCAAACTACGTTTTTTTATTCCTTTTTAAAATTATCTAAAATAGGCGTTGGTCTTCCATTTTCAATGATCTCCTTTTTTTCTTAAAAATTATACAAGGAGAATGACTTTTCAAGTAGTTGATCGGTTACGCAGCGACACTCATCCATGTTTAATTGCACGCATACTACAGCCGGTAACCAAAATGGCTACTAACGAGTGAGAAATGAGTAACCAAATTAAAAAATGGTAACAAGCCCACATAATAGTCGCAGCGCCCCACGCACTCGGGCGACCGCGATCAGACACGAGCCGGTTCCGACGGTCCCCGACAGACTACCAAGTGTATCCATAAATAAAAATGCTAACACCCGACAACCAAGTCGGGGCAAGTCAGCTTCATCGTCTTCGCAAAACCTAGACACTAAAGGGCGCATTATTTTCGTGGGGCTAATTTGCTATTTACTGAATTACTATTACATATCGCTGCTGGTAAACAAATAAATAAAATTATTTCACAGTACTTAGTCATAAAATATTTATTTTTAGCTGTTACCAATGGTAACAATGGTTACACGGACGCGTCGCCACTGGATGGAGGGTTCGTTTTTCGCGCGTGGATATTTGGGCGGACAAAAATTCTATATAACTAGCTACGAGCCTAACGGTTTGATGGACTTTGACATACGAGGTGCGGTTGGATTTATCTTAGGAGTGGGGTGACGCTGGGTATATTTTCATTTTTATTATGCTTTCGCAAAATCGCGGATTTTAATAAAAAAAACAACTTTGAAGTTCCTATTCTACTGGCTGCAGCTTGATTAGTGATGAATTTTGACATAAGAGGTGACTCTAGATCTGTCTTGAGAGTACTAAACCTGATAAAATAAAAATGTGCATCATATTTTGGGATATTTTGTTCTTAAAGTTAAATACTATGCTTGAGACTATTTTAACCTCACGCTCAAAAACCAAGGGCGTACTCAGCTCAAAATGGAAGAGGGGCACCTTGATATAAATTTTTGTTGGAAGTTCCACAAATCATCACCACCTGACTATGCTTGATATTTGTCTTCTATTTGCATTTTTTTTGTCCATTTATATAGAGTCTTCAATGATAATTTGATGATTGGTATGTATATGGAAAACTACTAGGATTAATTTTTTGAATCATACAACCAAATATTGCACGAGATGCTTTTTAAGTAATAAGTTAGTCGTTTGCCATACTTGAAAGCAACAGTTGAAATATTACGAGTATATGACAAATGTTAGCTATACTGCAAATTTTATATGCCTACTTTTTGGGCTTATCCTTAATGATATGCGAATATTTAAGGGTGTGAATCTACATGAAAAATTAATGTTAGTTTGCTTTATAAACTATGGTCCAAAAATGTTTCCTTACAAAAACTTGGGGTGTTGAAGTTTTAGAAAAAAAAAATGAAAATTAATTAATATCTTCCGAACCGCTTCAGAGATTTCACTGATATTTAGTACGTAGTGAAAGTTAATAAAGTTGCATATTTTTCAATGCAAAAATAATTTTTAGCTTTAACATTGGCGTGCGTACGGGTATTGACTTCGATATTAAAAAAATGGTACGCCAATGGTTTTTTGCGGAATAAAAATTATTTTTGAATTTCCCGTTCAATTTAAAATAAATGATCTCTCTTGAATTGTTTTCTTTCGATGCGTAAAAAAATAAAAACCGTTCTATTGTCTAACTTGCAAAATTATTATTAATTTAATTGTAAAAATTAAAACAGGGGTAATGAACAACAACAACTGACAACATAAACATAACATTAAGATCAAAGAAATGATTACAAAACTTGTTGAAAATGGCCTCCTTCACTTAGTATGCATGCTTCAGCCCTCCTTCTCATGGAATTGCGCACTCGTTGAAATATCCCTGGAGCGTTTTTTATTCTATCACAAGCTGCAACTATTCTTTCTCTTAATTCCTCTACAGTGTTAATGGGACTTGTGTACACTAGTGTTTTAAGATAGCTCCACAAAAAGAAATGTAAACTGTTGAGGTCTGGGGACCCTGTTGGCCATTCTTGGGGCCCACCGCGGCCAATGCAACGATTTGGATAAACAGTTTGTAAATAAATTACGAACCGCTACACTGAAATACGCTAGTGCACCATCATTCATGTACCACATATTGTTTCTTATTACTAACGGAACATCATCAAGCAGCAAAGGCAACTGTTGTTGAAGAAAATTGAGGTAAGTCTGTCCGTCATGTCGTCCCGGCAAGAAGAATGGGCCAATAAAGTGGTCGCCAATAATTCCTGCCCATACGTTAACCCAAAAATGATGTTGGAAATGGGTTTCGGTTACGACATAGGGATTTTCATCTGCCCACAAATGATTTTTGTGGAAATTGAAATTAGCTTCGTCCGCGAACAGAATCATTGATTCAAATTGCGGATTTTGTGCAATTTTTTGAAGATACCACTGAAAACAGGTCACACGCTTTGGAAAATCAATGGGAAGTAATGCCTGTACGATTAACAAATGGTAAGGATATAATAAAATAAAAAATCCACTAAAATTGTCCAAACAATTTGATGGCAAATATTTAAGTGTCTAGCGATCTTCCTCGTACTCGTTTCAGGATGTTTTTCGACTTCGTGCAGCACTGTACAAGTGTTCTCACACTTAGAGGTCTACCTTCACAAGTTCCTTTTCGGATAGAACCAGTTTCAACAAGACGACGATGAATATTAGAAAAGGTTCGACTATCTGGCAAAGCACGATCGGGATATCTCTGGTGATAAATCCGTCTGGCTTGCTCACCATTACCGTCGGCAAAGCCACATACGTAATGCATTTCCGCCAATTCTGCATTTGAATAATTCACCATTATTAACAAGATTGTAAAAACTAAATAATGAAAAGGATGTCACAGGGAACAGATTTGAATAACAGAGACTTGTCAGATGTCAAAAGCAAGTGACAAATTCCAGAGCAACTAGATATTTATTGCTAAATTGCATTCTTCAATTATTACATTAATTTTCTCGGAAAATAGAATGGGTTTTTACTCAAAAATGGCGCATCGAAAGAAAGCCACTCAAGAGAGATGATTTGTTTTAAATTGAATGGCGAAATCAAAAATAATTTTTATTTGGCAAAAAACTATTGGCGTACCATTTTTTTCTTGAAAAATATCGAAGTCAATACTCGTACGCACGCCACTGCTAAAGCTATAAATTATTTTAGCATTGAAAAATATGCAACTTTATTAACTTTCACTACGTACTAAATATCAGTGAAATATCTGAAGCGGTTCTGAAAATGTTAATTAATTTCCATCTTTTTCCTAAAACTTCAACACCCCGAGTTTCTGTAAGGAAACATTTTTGGACAATAGTTTATAAAGCAAACTGACATTAATTTTTCATGTATAGTGCCTTTAGCAAAATTAAGCTTACCTATATCTAACATAGTACTTTCTGATCTAACAGATATTGATTCAGCTTGTGGAGAACCCTGTAGGTATATTAATAATGATATTTTTGTAAAAAATGTTCTTCTCTTTATTTAATTTTTGCTGACCTCCTCTATGGTACGCCCTTGTCAATAACGAAGCATTGTTTGCGGAAAATAAATGTTTACCTCATTTCCTAAACTAGCCGTTGCGCTGGCCAAGTCCTCCGGCAAGATCACCCTCAAATGTTTCCCCATGGCGACTCCATCATGAAGCATCGTTGCGTTGTTGGCCTCACGTCTCCTTCTCCTTCGTTTAGCAGGCTCTAAAGCCTGGTCTGTCTTCGGACACATCTCGCAGTCCGTCTTGCAAAGCTCGATGTTGCATTCGATCATCAAATCCATCACGTCGGGGAACTTGAAGGCGTTGAAGTAGGCGTACGCTATCACAGACGCTCCTATTGTGATAAGAAAAGTTCGCAATCACGTTTTTGTGAGCGCATAAATAACCACAGTAAAGTAACTGTTAGTAGTGTCTGACCGAAGCTTCGGCTTCGGCCACATTCGACCTAAAGATACGCCATCGACCATCAATCGGTCTTTGGTCAAAAAAAGCCGAAGCTTTGGCTGGAGGCCGCAAGGTTTCGAAAAAGCTGAACTCACCAGAAGTTTTATAAAATTATCGCTTATTGGGAGGAGTAGAAAATGTATATAATTTATTTCAGCGAATTAAGAACAGTTTGAATACTTCAAACCACTTAGGTACTCTGAAGCATAACTTGGCTACCAGCTAGAACCCGTGTAGATATTTTGTTAGATGGCTAATCTTACAGGACAACCATACAGGGTTTGTCCGGAAAGTAATTGGACTGAGTCGATTTAAAAAAATTATTGAGCCAATCGTTACAATTCTTTAAAAACTTTCAAAATAGGCTCCTTTTACTTCGGTGCAGCGCTGCCAGCGCGATTTCCAAGCATTGAAGGCGTCACGGAAGGCATTCTCCGGAATAGCCTAGAGAGCCGCGGTGCATGCTGCTTGGATCCCCTCTGTCATCTCAAAATGCTTGCCTTTCATCGGCCTTTTCAGGCGAGGAAACAAAAAAAGTCCGGCGGGCCACATCTGGGCTGTAGGGCGGCTGCGGAAGCGTTGGGATGCCGGCCTTGGTCAGGTAGCTGTTCACAAGAATGGCGGTGTGAGCCGGGTTGTTGTCGTGGAGCAACTTCCAGTCGGCTGCGATGTCTTGTCGGACCCGACTGACCCTTCGTTTGAGTCTCCTGAGCACTTCCAGGTAAAACTTGGCGTTGACGGTTTGTCCAGGAGGAACAAATTCATGGTGGACGATGCCTTTGATGTCAAAAAAGACAATGAGCATCGTTTTCACTTGGGATTTGCACATTCTTCCCTTTTTAGGGCGAGGAGACGCCGTCGTGTGAAACTCGGAAGAATGCCTCTTTGTCTCGGGATCATACGAGTACTCAAAGATCCAAGGCTCGTCACCTGAGATTACGTTATTCAAAAATTGGGGTCCACTTTCACACATGTTCAAATTTTCTTGCCGCACTTCCACCTGCCGCAATTTCTGGTCGTCAGTGAGCACTTTTGGGACCATCTTCGCGCACACCTTGCGCATGCTCAAATGCTGTGTCACAATGTCATGAACCACAGATTTTGGTAAATTTAACATCTGGGCAATTAAACGGATACTTAGTCGATGGTCTGAGTTCAAAACTTTGTGCACACGAGTCACATTATCGGTGCTTGTCGAAGTCGAAGGCCTTCCAGCACGGTCTTCATCAGCGACCTGTTCCCGGCCCTCCAAAAAGGCCTGGTGCCACCGAAACACACCACTTCTTGCTAAAGCAACACCTGGGTAAGCCTGCTTGATCATATCAAACGTATCTGTCGCAGATTTACCGAGTTTCACACAGAATTTAATCGCGTACCTCTGCTCTAACGAACGCTGCATTTTCGGCTTGCACCACTCACAGAAACACGTCGCGCGAAAATGCCTGTCCTGACTCTCCAAGTGCTCGGAGACGGAGTCCCCATCAAATGAGTTCTTCTTTGAAGTAGTTGGTTTGCAAGATCTATACTTGTGTAATAATTATCGGTTACAGCCATGCGTCCAGTATCTAAAAGTTTTTCACTAAGTTCTAAGACAACCTTGGTAGGGATTGAGTTATTTTGGTCAGCTTCTTTTCCAGAATAGATTTTCATGTTCCATGTGTAACCTGGCCCTGCGCATAATTTGAAAATTTTCACGCCGTATTTATGGGCCTTATTAGGAATGTATTGTTTAAAAATTAATCTGCCTCGGAAGGGTATTAAACTTTCATCTATGCATAAAACTCTAGCTGGTGTATAGAACATTTGACTGTTGCATACGAATTTGTCCACTAAAGATTGCACTTTATGCAGTCGACTATTTGAATCATTAAACTGATTATCCGAAAAGTGAAGCATAGTTAATATTAGCTCGAAGCGATTTCTTGGCATGAATTTTCCACAAATCTGGTTTTTGTATTTGGAATTAGTACTCCAATATCTCTCCAAAGTGGGCATTTTTACCAAACCCATATAAGCAATAATATAAAAAAAAATTTTTATTTCGGATACAGTGGTTGGAGTCCATGAGTGAAATTTAGATGATTTTCCAAAATCTGAATCTTCTGACATCAAGCGCTGAGAAGCAAGTAAATTTGTTTGTTCAACAATCATTTCAAAAATCTCATCGTTTATCAAGAGATTATAGAAGTCATGGGGTTCTCCTTCTCCAAGCAAACTTATTATAGCCTCGTTGATACAGTTGCCGGGGATGTATTCAAAATTATTTTGATGAATCGAAGGAGGTCCATCATCGTAATTAATTTCTTGAATAGACTTTCTGGAAACAGGACTGGGTACAAAGTCCTGCATTTCATTTTGATTTTGAAAAGGTGAAAACTCCATGTAACCTGGACCTCCGTCACTGCTTTCAGTGTCACTCCCATTTGGTGAATAATTTTGATCTCGAGAATCATCAGAGTCATGGTACGTATCTAGAAAGAACCTGAAAGTATATAGTTTTTATCCAGCACATCAGCACAGTTATTCTATTCAATTGGAAATTTCATTTTTTTCGATGAATAAATAGTTAAGGAATTGAAGCTTTGAACTTGAGTATAACAAGTAGACGTAATACTCCATCGAAGTTTCTTTTCATCGCACGTATTCAGGGCCTTTCCTTGTCACAAGTATGGAATTGCTTCAAAATAAATAACAATACAAAGCTACTAGTAGAAAAACAGTAACCTTGAATATATGGTATTCTAAATATAACCAATGAATCAGGTATTACGAGTAACCCCTGGTGAATACAGTAAATCTCTATTTTTATATTAAACGACAACCCCGTACAAATAAGTGAACATTAGATTAGCTATCCAAATTTTTTTTTTTGCAAAAATATTGCATGCTAAATACCACAGAGTACGTGTTATCTACACTACTATTTTATGGAAATACTATAACATAAATAAAAACGTACCTTCCATGTCAAAATCACTATCAGAGTCTTCATTCTTATTCTTTTCCACAAGGGACATGATATGTCTTGTTCTACTGCTCATTATGACTTTCGTATCGAACAAATTAGAATAAATACGCGGAAAACCAATGACAAGTAACGTCTACCAAACTAGGTTATGCCATACTGAGCATAGGAAGGTATTTCGCACGAGATGCGCCTCGTGTCCGCTGACTAATTTGTGTCCGCTATTGTGTCCGCCATGGCGTGGCCAAATACGACCGAAAAATTATTTTTTTACGAACGGCGCCAGGGCGGACACCAGTGTCCGCTGAATCGCTCTTATGGGTGGCGTACTGGGAAGTTTTATGAAAATCGACTTGGCGGTGAATGTGTTAATACCGCTTTCAGTACAGTACATTTACTTAAAAAAATTACAGAACTCACCGGTACACGATACACACCACCAATTCCCACGATTATCAGTCACTTATTTGAAACGATGTGATGCACGAAAAAAGAAAAAAGAAACAACATCCGTAAATCACATAAAGTTACAGTTAAATGTATCAGTAATTACAACAACACACGATTATACACGCAGTGTGAGGGATTTTGTTTGTTTGTTTTTCTTCGGAAATTTGTATTTAATAAGCAAGAAAATTATTTTGTTAGAGACAGTTAATTAATAAATAGATGTATTGATACATTTTACGCTATTAGGCATATGAATTTAATTAATTAAGGGGCAAAATTAATTTATTTCATGACTAAAAAGAAATAAGTTCAGCATTTTTTTTGCACCGAAACGGTTGATTTTCGGACACCTTTTTTGCTTAGAATAATGCAAGGAATTACATCTTAAAGTTACGAATATTATTTCCCTAACACCCCGTATATGTAGGATAACATGGAAATATGGTGGAAATGCGTATTTTTATATCGGAGACATCAACGATCAGTTAGACACGTTACTTCATGATTGTGATTATAACAAAACTAAAACTTCTTATATAAATGATTCCAATATTATTTATGTTATGTGAAATTTAGACGACTGCTTATTTTAGATTCCTTACTAATGGGTAACTGATGTGTTTCCTAGTAGCTCTGCAAAATAATGCTTTATAGCTTCATGTACGCTTACCAGTATTTTCCGTATTTCTGGTTTTTTGGAAGGCTCCGAATAACTTGGGTTTCAAAATACAACCATCATCATCAGTTAGAGGAATTGTGTTGGACCCTGTAGAATCTGTAGCTCGGCAATCTTTAACCTATAATTATGGAATGAATCAATACTATTACCTTTCGATGATTCTTCAAAATTAAATATGTGTATATTTATGTGAAATTCACTGAATCATATCACAATACTGGTTAAATTAGGTAAAAACATAATAACAATACTGACGCATCGTTGCCTAGATTAGAAAGAAAGTTGGCAAGTTACTAATATTATCACTGAAACATTATGTTAAAACTCTTACCTGGACATCAAACCCTGGATCTCCTGATACAGATACCACCAAGGTGAGTGGATCACCTATTTTGACCAAGCCGTTAGCAGGCTGTCCGAAAGCGCCTCTTCCTTGCAAAACATCTAGTTTGGCCATTGCTGTATCTCCGCTAAAGGTCACTATTTCTTGGCTAAGCATGCCTACCTGTAAAAAACATTTACATTATAACTTTCATACAAAAACTCATCGTAGGAGTCAGTATTCATTCATTTTTGCATTGATTCTGTCAGACACACATAAGTAAATGGCAGTCAAAAGTAAACAAACATTAGGTATGTGTGAGTCAGCATTAAAACCATTAAAAACTATCCAGAATTACATATTAAAAATAATTTTTAGAAAAAATATATATATATTTTAGAAGTCTGCTCCTTTATGTATAAAAATCCTTTAATCAGAGAATATGTTAGTCATCATTATCCAACCAGAAACAATGCTGATAGAAATCTAATAATACCCAATAGTTTCACAAAGATAAACTTAAGATCAATGGACTGTATTGGTCCGAAAATCTACAACATTTTGTCTGGGACACTGGGGATGATAAATAAATTAAAATTGTTTAGTTCAGAGTGTAGATCATTTGTTGTGGCAAACCTTGATGGGTTCATAGCTCTTTGCTAGCTAAATATGCAAATGTTTTGATCATTTTTTTATGTTTTTTTTTAGGAATCTAAATTCTGAGTTGGTTGATTTTTGTCCTTGTTTAAGTGGTTACAATGTAATTGGCACGACATTATAATCAAATAATTATTTGTCCTGGATTTATTTTGTTTTATTTATTTAAGTATACTAAGTGACATATAAATCCGAACACCCAGTTTAAATGGTTTTATTTTAATAAAATTTTGTATAAGTACTTAACGAAGAATAATAAGTAAATGATAAAAATTTCAAAATGATTGCATTGCTTTAAAGCCCTTTGACCTTTAATAATGTGTGGATGCACCCTGATGTGCTACGCATTCTCCAACGCGCCTAGGCATGCTTCTGATCAGGTGGTCAATGTCCTCCTGTGGTATCTCATTCCAGGCAACCACCAACTCCTCTCGAAGTGCTTCTAGAGTCTGAGGAGGACGTTGCAAATTGAGCAATCTCCTATCCATCATATCCCACACGTGCTCAATTGGGGATAAGTCGGGAGATATTGGTGGCCATGGTAACAACGTGACATCATTATGTTGAAAGAAGTCTATTGTGACTCTTGCAACATGTAGTCGGGCATTATCTTGTTGGAAAGTTGGATCTGCCAGGGTGTCAAGATAGGGTAAAAGATGGGGTTCTAGAACTTCGTGGATATAACGCTGCGCGTTCATGTTACCTCTGATGAAGATTAAAGGTGACCTGGAACCATAAGCTATAGCACCCCAAACCATAACTGCAAAAGTGTGATGAACATGTCTTTCAACAAAAAACTGTGGATTCCTCCTTTCACCACGTCGCCTTCTAACCCTGGCACGACCATCGTGCATGCCTAAACAAAATCGAGACTCGTCGCTAAAGACAATACTGTTCCATTCCTGATCCCAGAGTGACCGTTGTCTGCACCACTCAAGGCGATTACGTCGGTAAACACTTCGCATGCCAATAGGTCTTTCGTGTTCTGCAAACCATTCACTTGCAATGGACCTGGTAGAGGAGAAACGGTCCCTTAAGGCCAATAATCTTAGGCGGCGATCTTCACGGTCTGTTGTTCTACGGCGGCGTCCAGTGCCCCTTGCTCTTTGCGTACGGCCTTCTCGAAGCCATGCCTGACAACACCTAACCACAGGGTCTACACTTCTTTGCACTCTAACTGCAATTGCCCGAAAAGAAAGTCCAGCTTCCCGAAGTCCCACTATACGGCCCCTATCAAGCTCACTAAGTTGACGAGGTCGTACAGGTCTCCGTACTCTAGGCATCCTAACCGATCGTAAAGGATGTCAAGAACCAAGATCCGCCAACGTTGATTCTTTACTGCGGCTGAAATATTCATTTTTAGAGCGTTAGTGAATTAAAAAAAAGCAGTATAAAAACCGGAATGTCCAACTGATAAGGCTGAAAATTTTTTCACTTATTATTTACAGTAAGATGAATACATTCACCAACTTTTATTAAAATAAAACCATTTAAACTGGGTGTTCGGATTTATATGTCACTTAGTATATTTTATTATTAAAATGTTACATTACACATTATTTAAGATTGGTGCATACGGATATTAAGTTATCTAGGTACCACATAAGAAAAACTATACATGTTTTATTTTAGTGTAATATATAAAACCACTGTATATATTGCCATCACTTTGTAATATATTGTATTAAAATATAACATAAAAATAAACAAAGATTAAAAGCACGTGGTAGATACAGATTTAAAGATTGTTATGTTTAAAATATATCAATGGGTTGGAATGGGATACTCTAAAAAACTGTTTTTAGGCACCTGCATTTTGCCTCGATTTTCGGCCTTAAAATTTTTGCTATTAATCGGATCTCTTTACGTGTGGCCTCATTTTGTAGCTCTCATAAATACCTAAAAATCTTATATGAAAAGTTTTTTCGTTCCTGTCAACACTTTCGATTGAATCCCAAAAAACACGTTTTCTCATTTTTTGTTGTCAAATAAAAAGTTTTCCCACAAAAATTGGGGTACCCATTTTATGCGTCCATGTTTTAAATACGACCTTGAATTACTTGCACTAATAAAACCAGATCTAACAATTATCCAGGGGAATTTGCTAATATGACTAGACTTATTGTGGCATCACAAATGAGTAAACTATTATTACCGTAAAAAGGTTCGGAATGGGAATATTCTAATTTTATATCGTGTCTCAACTTTCCAAAACTCCAAAACATTTCAGCTAAAACTTCCAAATTATTGGGCTACATCTGGAAATAGAAAAGGACTAAGTTTAGCATTGAAGAAAACAAGATGAAGACACAGTGGATAGAAACAAAAATAGAAAATCGCTGAATACGATAAAATATAATTTGGAGGTAGAATGGTGCCACAAACTGAAATGGTAGAAAATTCCATCTTTAAAAAATCTCTGCCTGTCCCGGCATTTATGGCTTACTCGCCAATACGAGCGCGCGAATTTGAGTGTCGCGCTCTGGTATTTGTTTTGAAGCGAAGTAATTAAGAGTCGCAGAGGAGTGTAGGGGGTTCATAAATATTTGTTGTTGTTGTTGAAGATTTATTTAGCATTAATGCTACAATGTCAATTTGGTATAATGATTCGGTTAAATATTTTTCTTCAAACCGTTTTTTGTAATTTTACATTGTTGTCTATTAAAACTAAAATTAAAATTACGCCACTCTGTATTTTGATTATTCATAAAGTAATTTTTTAATTTCACCTTAAACATTTTTAAATTCGAACTTTGTTTAATATCATTATTCAATTTATTAAATCAAATACTCCATTTTGAAATATAGGTTTTCTTTCTTTTTTAATTTGAATATGAAAACGAGAACTAAATAATATATGAAATTTTTCACATCTAACCACTGCAGTTCTTCTAACATAGACTTAATCCTAGCATATTTGTTTTTATTTAAAATGATTCTCTTAGCTTTATTTTGTAGAATTTGTAATTTTGAAAATATGTTTTCACTTGCTGTAAACAAGACGGTTGAACAATATAAAAAATGGGGAAGAATTATAGTGTTATACACAATTTTTTTTGGAATACATACTAAGATTATGGGAAACTCTATAGAAGTAATCCACATATATACCAAGATATTTAAATGACTCGACTACTTAAATTTTTTCATCATTAATCATGAGCCTAATTGTATTGTCACCTAAATGTTTCCCTATTGACATACATTTTGTTTTATTAGAGTTTAATTACATTATATTCAAAAATAAAATCTTACCATTAGTGAAACGCTGAGTTGTTCCTTCAGATTTCCCTCCCATAGGCATCGTACCGATCGAACCGTGTCCCACACTTCTTGGATTCCAGGTTCGTTTTGCAGTACCAGGACATTTTCCAAGTAGCTTTGCCCTTCCGTATCAAATGCGTTGACGAATTCGGTTCCGCACATGTTCAAATTCACCGTGAAGGAGAATTTGATTTGGTTGGAGTTCTCTTGAACGTACCTGTAAATAATTAATTTGCTAAAGGTGTAGTGGATGTACGGCTACTTTACAAAAGGTCATATAGAGCAGCTGTTTCGTCTTTATTCAGACTCATCATTTAAACGCAGGTTTTGGGGCAGTAGCTCAAAAACAGCATGTTTCAAGAAAGTTTTACCTGCATTCTGGCATGTTATAATATCCTTTCGAGTAGATTACTCCGTTGAATGGTCGATTGAATTCAATGTTGATCGTCATCATTTCTTTTCCGCACTCAACATCGATTGCGTGAATGTGTGGAGGATGTCTTTCATCATCTGGCGATTCTGTAATAAAAATATTGTTGCTCTTTTACCTACTTAATAGCGATGCTTAAAACATTTACAGGTAACAACGGGCTGAAAATAGTACATAATATAATTTTCAAAAACCATTCTGTGATTTTTCAATGATCAATAAACGTTATTAATGAGACTATACGTGAGAAAGAATATTAACAATAGGTTGTGAAGGGATAGGAAATTGTTAAGTGGAATTGTAAAACTTTACCTGGTGCTTTAGTAGTGCCAGGCTCTTCTCCAGGTGTGGTGGGTAGTTCTTTGGGACCAGGAGTTTCTGGGCCTTCAGGTTTCGGTGTGGTTTCGGTTCCACTTGGTTGTTCAGGTGTGGGTTGCTTTGTTGTTGAACCTATAGAGATATTGTAGTTACTACCAAAAGTAACCATAGTTTGCAGATTCCAAGCAGTATGAGTAAAGTACCAGACGACTGAGACTTCCATGATGACGATATGGTTGCTTTGGGAGAAATTAGATGGGAAAGCACTTTGGGTATTTGATGTAGAGCATCATCACTTTGAAAATATACTATGAGGGAGGTGATATAATAAGCAGGTTAACGAAAATTCGATGCTAAATTGACAAGCTTTATGTAAACCGTAGTCCATACGTTTTTCTTGACGACGACATTCTGGCACATGCGGTGAGGATGAATGACTTTATGATCCATTGGGTTAAACGATCTGAAAATGAGAAATGTTTTCAATGAGAATAGATTCTTTTTTGAAACTGGGAGTCCTGATGATGTTTGACGATTGGCGAATTGATGTATGTTGACAAAAAACAACTTGAAATATAATTGACACCAGTTTGCATTCATTTTCCGCAGAGCGTATATACGAATATTTCAAGCAGTTTTTAGTCTACCTCCACCTGGAGCTTCTTAGCGCTTTTCACACACCTGCAGCTTCAGTGGTCTCTGGACCTTCTGATGTTTGAGCAGAAGGAGCAATAGGCTCTTCTGTAGCAGTAGGTACCGCTGTTGCTTCTGTAGAACCTTCTGGCTCCTTTCCAGGTTCGCCAGTTCCTTGCGTTGGTTCTTTTCCTGGTTCTTCTGGCCCTTCTGTTGGCACTTCAGGTGTTTTCGAACTCATGCCAGGTATTTCTCCTCCCTCAGAAACTCCAGTTTCTTCAGTCGGCCTTTCTGGTAGTTTTGGGCTTGTTGCAGGTCCCTCTGTAGCCTCTCCAGGTATGTTTGTTCCAGGCACTTCTTCTCCACCAGTTGCTTTTTCGGATACTGTTTCTTCTGTCGGACCTTCAGGTATTTTTGGACTTGTAGCAGGGCCTTCAGTCGTCCCCTCTGGTGCTATTCCTGGTTCAGTGCTGCCTTCCGACAGCTTAGTACTTGCACCTGGTACTTCTGGTTCCTTAGTACCTTCTGGCTGCTCTCCACTGCCCTCGGTAGAACCTTCAGGTTCTCCTGATCCCTCTGTAGGTCCCTCAGGTTCTTTTCCAGGTTCAACAGATACTGTTGTACCTTCTGGTAGTTTTGGACTTGTTCCTGGTTCACCAGGCTCTTCTGTAGCTCCTGATTCTTTTCCAGGTTCTTCAGTTGTACCTTCTGGTTGCTTTGGACTTGGTTCTTCTGGACCTTCCGTGACTGCTGGTTCGTTTCCGGGCTGTATAGGTTCTTCTGTTGGGCCTTCAACTCCTGGTTCAGTGGGACTAGTTTGAGGTACTTCAGGGCCTTCAGTAGCTTCTGGTACCTTAGGTTCCTCTGGAGCTCCGGTCGGTTCTTTTTCTGGTTCTCCAGGTTCTTCTGTGGGACCTCCTGGTAAGCTAGGACTAGTTTCTGGTACCTCTGGAGCTTCAGCAGGTCCAGGTTCTTTTCCAGGTTCTTCAGGTCCTTTTGTAGTGACTTGAGGTTCTCCTGGAACTGTTGGTACTGGTCCTCCAGGCCCCTCAGTAGATACTTCTGTGGGGCCTTCCGGTAGTTTTGGGCCTGGTTCAGTTTCGCCTGTACCTTCAGTCGGCTCAGGCTCACCAGGCCCTTCCGTTGGTCCTTCTGGACCTTCAGGACCTTCTGGAGTGGCTTTTGGTTCTTGGGGAGTTTCACCAGGAACTGTGGAAGAAGGCTCTTTTTCTGTGACTCCTAATAAAATAAACTTGTTGGTTTACTATATAAAAGTAGAATTAAAAAACATGTGTACGGAATATGAACTGTAAATTATGATACGTGACTTGTTAATCAAGTTATTGGATTAACACTTTTTTAAAGAAAAGTCTTGCATCAGTATCACGGTTTATCATAGTTTAAAAGTTGGTACGTTCCAAGTATACTTTAACACTTGAATAAGCGCTGCCAAAGAATGTCTCAAACTTGGAGTATTGTGGTCAGGTTTATCTTTTTATTATGATTTTTTTGTCATTTTATATTATAGAGATGTTGAACTAGTACGAGAGAGTATAAAATACACTAGACAGTATTTGGACCGGTATCACCATTAATTTAATAAAATAAGGTATCATCATCAGATAACACCAAACCGGTCCTGCCATTTACAATCCCTATGAAGACCCAGATGTATAATGCTCGTAAGATACTGTATACTCGTATATATGATTATGTTGAGCTTTACAATTCAGTCAGTGCGGCTAACAAACAAGAAAGTTTACTCTCTTTTAAGAAATCAGTTGGAAAACAGCTATTGGAGATGCAATCGTCTCTCAGTGTTTGAGTTGTTGGTTTGTTTTATTTTTATGACACTTTATTATTATTATTATATTAATAGTTCAAGTGTGCATTTGTTTCTTTTTCTTATTATTACTATTGTTTGTTTGTGTATCGAGTTTAACTGTGTTACTTTTTCGTACACAGTGAGGTTAAGTGTAAGAGTAGCCATTTGGCTAAACTTCGCCTCACTGATGTATGCTGATTAATAAAGACATTTATTATTATTATTATTATTATTATTATCTTGGAGGATATGCTCTTTCCAGGAAACTACCTATGTTATACTAATATATGGCAAAGGTAAAGGTTATCATTATTTTAGAGCTAAACTTATACTACGAGGAGATAAAAAAATATCAATTAACAATTTTGTTAGCTCGGTAGCAAATAAGTGAGCAGCTAAAACGTCCCGTAATTCGATGAAACTCAGCAATACATCCCAAGTTGGTGTACGTGACGTAACCTGCTTCTTCCATCAGCTGTTGGTAATTATTTCAGTGCTGATAAAAACTCTAAATCATAGACAACCAGCAATTATTGTGGTAACATCAGAATACTGTCATGAGCCAAATAAATTTACTATGAATTGATGGTCATCCCAGAAGATCAGTAGGCCGCAAAGGGTTGAAAAATTAGCTCTGAATTCTTGGGAATAGTTAGAGGTTCAGTATCTTGACTACGTACCATTGTTTTGCCTTATTTGAACGCTTATATGAAGAAGGAGACCTTATTTAGCAGATTATGACTACAATTGTAAATTAATCTACCTGGACGTGAAGTAGTTCCTTCGGGTCCTTCAGGACCAGGTGTTACTTCTGGAGCAGGTCCTTCTGTACCCGGCCGTTCAGGTCCTTCTGTAGGTACCCCAGGCGTACCTCCAGGAATGCTCGGTGTAGTTTCTGGTACCTTGTAGGTGTATCCTGGACTTGTTGTAACTGCAGGTCCTTCTGGTTGTCCTGGAGTGGTCTCGGGAGCTGAAGTACCAGGAGCTTCTGGTTGGGTTGGGAAACCTAAAAGTATATGAAACGTAGAAGTCATGGTTATATATGTAGATGTAATTCACGTGTCTTTACCTGGTTTTTCTGGTTGCTCAGTTGGTCCTGTAACGCTAGGAGTATATCCAGGTGGGGGTTGTGTGGGAAAACCTGGTTTTTGAGGTTCTTCCGTAGCACCAGGGACACCAGGAGTGTACCCAGGTTGCGTGGTGCCAGGCCGCTCGGGTCCCGTCACACTAGGTGTGTATCCTGGAGGTGGAGCTGTTGGGAAGCCTGGTTTTTCTGATGGAGCTCCTAAAATATTTATATATATATATATATATATATATATATATTTGCTTTACTCCAGAATATATTTTAAATATTCTGTGAATTAGATGTAAAGGAAAAGATTAAAGACTCTAAAATTATCTTCACTTTGCATTAGAAAAAAAACCTGCTAATATGGCGGTAGGTATGTACCATTACGTCCCTACCTCAGTAACCATCTCTCGGTGCAGTTTCAATAACCCCAAACTAATAAGAAGATGGCGGCTTTGGCCACAAGAAGGGAAGTGTTTACTCAAAAAGAATTGTAGCATTAAACAACAAGCCAGAAATTATTCTTTAAAGACCTATACGGTGCTCCTGTGCGACCAGTGTTTGACATCAAGAATTCTGGTCTCGGTAGTATATTTCCTAACTGGTCAACTTTGGTAGAGGTATATCGTGTCGACAGCTTAGGACACTAGTTCTTAGCCCTTTTCGTAGCAAGGCTCCCGTGGAACCAAATAAGCTATCTAGTGGTCCCAGGTTGCTCAATTGTTTTGCCACCGTGGGCATATAAGCATAAAACTATCCTGTTTTCTTGGGTAGAGTCTCCAACAGAGGAAGCATGTGATAAGGAGCTCCTGCCCAAGGGTTTTGCGACCTTCGTAACAAAACGCCCATTGGGCCAGCACGCAGCTTTTTTGGTAACTTGGTAAGCAAAAGAGCTCTAATTTATAAGAGCAATTATTTTAGTTATTCTCAGACCTAGTTGCAGTGGCGTATACAGGACCTGAGTTCGGATGGGTGCCATAGATCCCAGGGAGAGGGTGCTGGCACAAAAAAAAATCATGCTGGTGGTATGTCCGACTCTTTCGTCATATATGGTCAACAACGTAAAAAAATATAAACTGTCTATTTGGAATTAGACAATGGGAGCGTTCAGCCAGCGTAAAGTAATCCAGCGCTTTTATGCTTATGGTTAATGTTGCAAATTGTCAAAACTATTCCACGGCAACTGTTATTCAGCATAAAAGCGCTGCAACTAATTTACGTTAGCCGAACGCTCCCAACGTTTCGCGGGATACATTTTGGTTTTATTTTCAAAAGCGAAAGGCCGTGTATTATTCAGTATTTTTGAAGCGTCCTGATTCAAAAAAATGTTGGAGGAAAGTTGATGAAAAGTAAACATGTATCTCACTAGAAAAATGTCCTAAATCTTATACGAAACAAAATATAAAAATGACTACTAAAGCTTTACAACAGTTTGGAAAAATCATACGCAGAATTTGTCACACATATCTATATCTAATCGCAAAGCGAGTAAAAAGATGACAGTGCTACTGGGTTTGTACCGGAATACTTTTGGCCTAGAGCCCTACATTTAGAACCCTAATCCTAAAAGGAAAGGTTCGGACCCTTCAGTTACAAAGCATCCCAACTCCCATGGAACATTAGTACTATTTTGCAAATTTTGGGGTGAATAAATAAATATGAGGTGATGAGACTGGCTATGCAGCGTTCGATCTGGCAAATCTGGATGCGCGCGGAACATGTGATTCGCCTTTAGTACAAGTTTGAACTTGCTCGAGTCATTTAGTTGTCGGTAGCGTTTTTTTTTTTTGTGGAACAGTTTTTCCTATTGTGTTCTAACAAGCAACGGTGTGATATCAGGTTGGCACAGTCCAACGGAAAAAATAGGCAAATTCGCCCAGAATGTGATCAGTATTTTGTACCGTTCGGGGGCAGGGGGCCCAGGCCCTCCCTTATTTACGCCACTGCTTTCTTGTATATAGAAAAAAAGTGGATCAAACTGTTGACAGTACTATACGAGGAAACCTATTTACCTGATGGAGGTAAGGTGAACGGCGGCTGTGGCGAACTTCCACTTGGAGGATATCCGCTGTCCACAAAGTTCCCTTCTTCATCAACTCCCCCACTGCCAGGTGGCGCTGGTGTGAAGCCATGTGGCTTGTCTGTGTTAAACGGTGGGAGGTACTCCTTTATCGTCCCTTGTCTAACTGAACAAAAGAAAAGAAATTAATGTATCATTGTGCGGGTACTGACCACCTAGGATGATAATCTGCGTGTGTTCCTGTATTTCATATACAAGAATGAATAGAGTTAATTTTCAGCGGTACAGCCCATGTCCAACCACCTAGAACCTGGATGGTTATTATTGTTAGTAGGTATTCTAACTACTACTTGATCGCTTTCCGAGTATTCCGGAAAAAAACCTATACTTTCCATTATCATTTTGAATAATTGCTTCATAATTATTTCCGAAGAATTCTCAAGAACTAACCTGAAACCAAGCCTAAAGCTATATTCCCACTTAGTCTAAGCGAAGTCTGTACCAAGAGGCTACTTGACTCATATCTAATTTCATAGAATAAATGAGAATTTTTTACATTATTTGGCTCAGGAAAACGATTCCAGTTTTCCAATTTCAAAAAACATATTTTTTATTTCTAATATGAAACCGTGAAAATCCTATCGGCCATGATGTGTCGTCATACAAATTGTAAATAAACAAACATCATCCGGATGTAACTCTTGGTCTAACCTTGTCTTCTTTAAATATTCATCCACTACTCTTCATCAACGTGAAAAGTTATCGTTTTTTTTCCTTTTATTGACGTTGGATTCGTAACAGCAGAAAGCACAAATTTTCCAAAAATTGCCAAATTGATGATTGATTAGTAACTTTTTTTGGCTTCAACCCAGATTTCTGCTCTGCTGAGCGGAGGAACATCAAGATTTCTATGTAGGTACAGTGCATCCGACATAACAATAGACATAAGAGGTCAGAATAAGTATTACACTTACATAAAATTCCGTTTCAGAAGTCATTCAAAATTAAGCTCATACGTCACAACCTCTGAATATTTTATCTAATATTGTATTCTTCTTACACCTGCAAGAAAATTGTACTGTGGTGATGCCGTAGATTACGTCCAACATAAACGAGATGATAAAATCTGCACAGGAAAATTTAATGTCCTGCGCATGTTTATTTCCCTGAGCACTCTAATCCACAGCTTTCCTGGGAATCTATCGATGTTTCTGCATTCCCGGGCAATACAATAACTATTATTATCATATTTTTCATGCAAACTAGTAGAAGTCTTGTTTATATGTTTGAAGGTTTGAGAGGTTATGCTGCTGTCAGCTGCTGTTTTCAAATGGTATGACGACAGACCACATTCATATATGGCCCAAACATATCGGACAAAATATCCGCCTGTATAGTATTAATTTTTTTGATCGAATAGAAATAATAACAGCTAACCTATTGTTCGCAGGATATAACGTCGAATCTCTTTTTGTATCGTAGAACTTGATGGGTTCTTATTTCATTATGTGTAAAAGAACCCAATGGAAAATGTTACCTCTCTTCGCTTTACTCCGTTCAGCAGGCGGGCACTTTAAACCTACTCATAATGACCATGAACACAAAGATTCGTGTCTGACTGCTCGTTGATATCTCTCATATAATACCCTGCACATTCACCATATTTTTGCAATAAGCTGAAACTTCTAATTTTATTGTATATCATGATCATCATTGTATGTTATTATTCTTTGTTATGTTATAACTATCGTAAATAAGAATTAGTTTTTTGTTTGGGCTGGAGGCTGATCCAGATTTTTTTTGGGTCAGAAGCTTTTTAGGGTATAAAAAATCTCCTCTATCGCACTATTCTACTTTGTGTTATAAGTATAATATATGGATTACTGAGCGGAAAAGGTCCCGTTCTAAGGAAGAAGAATTGGTTCGCTAGGGCAGTACATTTTTTAAGATTCACTGTCCCATTTTCACTATCGTTCTTAGTGAAAGAGCAGAATGCGAAGTTTTCTTGTTAATTTTAATTTGCAATGTGAATAAATTATACAGGGTGTTTCAGTTTATTGTTACATAACTTTAAGATTCGATAGAACTTTTAAAATTAATGCATAAAGTCTATATAAACATGGGTCGAAAAATGCGTGGCTTCCGAAATATAGGGTGTTTAAATTTACTTTCTAAAATAGATTTTTTTTAAATATTTCGAACAATATTTGATGTATAACAGTGAACATTGGTATACAAGGGTTTTTTGGTACGAAAAAACGAAACATGGCATAGTTTTACTGTAGCCGCTAGAGGGCGCTCTCTACTGTACCTGTAGTGTATTAAAATGACCGAAAATTTTTTCTTAGTGCAATTTTTTGCTTTTTGAATAAAAAAACTGATTCTTCGCACTTTTCAACATAAAAAATGCAATTGCATTTTAGTTGTAAATAATTAATTTAATTTGTTGAAAATAATATTGGAAAATTAAACAAATTAATATTCTGTTTTTTTGTGTTTATTTGGAGTTAGGAATTATTGCTGTGTTTAAAAACACAATATAAACGATCATCTTAATTACTTGTAATGCCCAAATCGAAAATGTAAAAAAAATATTATTTTCCCTTAAATAATTAAAAATGCATCGAGCCTTAAAAATCGAAATACCTCAAAAACGGCTAACTATAACGAAAACTCACAAGAGAGCTTTTTTATGTTAAAAAGTACGAATAATCAGTTTTTTTATTCAAAAATCGAAAAAATGCACTAAGAAAAATTTTTCGGTCATTTTAATACAGAGAGAGCGCCCTCTAGCGGCTACAGTAAAACTATGCCGATGGTTCGTTTTGTCGTACCAAAAAACCCTTGCATACTAATTTTCACTGTTATATTGTTCGAAATATTAAAAAAAAACTATTTTAGAAAGTAAATTTAAACACCCTGTATTTCGGAAGCCACGCATTTTTCGATCCATGTTTATATAGACTTTATGCATTGATTTTAAAAGTTCTATCGAATCTTAAAGTTATGCAACAATAAACTGAAACACCCTGTATATACATGGAATATTAAAAGAATATTCAAAAAATTGCCATGTAAAACTCTTAAAATCATTATATGACATATTGACATATTGATTACAAAGTCATGTACTCGCGTTCATGTGCTTGTGGAACTATCTAAAATACCTTCAACCGTAATTATGAATATTTTGACTTTTAATACACAGTGATTACGAAATACATTATACTTTTAATGCAAAGTAAAATTATGGACAATCCTGCCGATTCAAATGCCATCTGAAAAATTTTAAGTTAACGTCCTATACTTTGAGATTTTCTGTGCCTGTTTAACTTTTTTGGCGAAAAACTAACCTCCTCAATTATACAAATGTTGACACTCATAGTTAAGTACTTCATCCCAATCATCATGACCTTTCACTTAAAATGTCAAATTGACCAAAAAAATTAATCTAATGTCTAATTTTTAATGAAAACTATGCCAATTAGTACCAAAAGTTGGTTGGTAACCTATTTGCAGTTGCAGGATTATCCTTCATTTTCTTGATACCCTGTATATCCGTTCCATTCTTTTGTTTATTTTCGGGTCTTCCGTACAATATAGACATTGAGCGCGTTCGGCTAACGTTAAGCGGTCCATCTGTGTAGCGATTTGATGCTGAATAGCAGTAGCCATGGGATAGCTTTGTCAATTTGATAGCATTTTTCTCTTGGCTGGCAGCTTTAGTAGTTTATTGGTCAAATGTCAAAAACTGTCAAAGCTGTTCCACGGCTACTACTGTTTAGCATGAAACCGCTCCAGGTTGTTTGAACGCACTCATTTAGAAATGTTTTGCCCTCTCGACACAGGTTTTGGTGATATTTGAGATAGTGATGATTTTCTAATGATTTTCCATAAAAATGCTTTTATTAGGGAAGATGGGATATTTTTATTTTGGATCCGTTTCATAAATCTCCATTTAGAATAGGCCACAATACATAAAAAATTAAAAAAAAAATTTATTTAGAGAAAATGCTTTTTGATGTTTATATAATATGTATGCTTAAGGTAAATCTACAGCTATGTTACTAATCATCACCTAACTTATTACTGCCAATGTTTGCATGGTCCCGTGAGTAGTTAGCCTTTCCGTGCGTTAGCTGGCGCTTAGACTATTGAAGAACGCGTTATGTAGACGAATCTGCTGACATATCTTAGCTGCTGTATTAGTCCATTAAACCCTTAAATATCCTGTCATAAACAGGTGTCACATCACATAAGTTAATTCATGAATTAAGTGCCTTCCGTTTCGATACACTTTCAACTCCTGTTCATTGATCAAAATCATATTACATACACATTGTCGCATACAATAAAAACATTGCAGTAAATTTTCTCTCATGGTTTTTAACAATTTATTCACATATTTTCTATAAACAAAATGCTTCCCTTTTCTCGTTAACCAAAATTGCATTACCCAATCAGGTGTTATTAATTATGAGCTATTTTTCATCTAGCTAAGTCTGAATTATAAATTCAGCCTATTGATTGACAACGATACGTATTCAAAATGCAGGGAAGTGTAAATCACTGTTCATTGACGTCCAATTAGCGGCTAATATAATGAACCGTATATAATCAACATAATGCAAAAGGATGTTAATTTTCCAATTAAAAGTATACATTGACTGTTCATCTGGCGACATGTTATAGATGTTCAATAGCATGTCTAATTTTTGTTCTATCGATTGTTTTTCATAACACAAGTCATCTAATTTTAAATGCGAAAATACAGGGCGTTCTGAAAGTTGGTGATCTGAATGCACTCGGGAGGTTAGCAACATTGAAAACATCATATCGACAAATGAGTTATTGCAGTTATTGCTATAGAAGTTTTCGGTATTTTAAAATCTGATTTGTGAATAAACAACTCTTTTTACCTACACACGCGACGCTTTGGTAGAATAGTGTCGGGCATCGGGTCTTTTCGGCTAGGAATTCGCTAGGAAGGCAATTAATTAATCTTAAGTCTTTGGTGAATGAAATAAGGAAATTTTCTGATTACTACAATAACTATGCGCTCTGTAAAGGGACGTCGCAACTCTGACGTATACATAATACCTAGCTGATAAATTTGAATATACGTATAGAAGTGAAATAATATTTGTTGTATAGGGAGAAATCGAG